AGGGAGAGGAGGCTCCACTGCTGCCAGTGGGTTTGCATCAGGGGGGAAGTGCATTCTGAAGGTGTTCAGTGACAGCAGCCCAGGCAAGTGTCCAGTGGGACCTGCCCAAGCATCCTCAGGGAGCTGGAGACTCAGCCTGGTAAGGCACCACTGGGATTCCCACATTTCCCAGTGCCCAGGGGCAGGGTCCTGTGGGTCTCAGCTCTGTGAGTCCTGGGAGCAACACCTGTACTACCTGTGGTGATCCTGACACGACAGGTCACTGCTTGCCTTCAGTCATCTCTGCTTTATCTCAAAAGAAGGACCGCAGTGCACATGGAAGTATTACCTCTTCACAAAGATGAGCATTTCTGAGCAACTCATTAGCAGAAATCTATTTCCCTGTTAGAAGCCCTTTGGGCAACAAATAATTTATTTTGCATACAGGCAAACAACATTAATGGCCAATTACATTCCCACTTCCTGCACTGCACATTAATAACACTTCTGCCAAATGTGGGCATCACACAGCTCCTGCCAGCAGAGTTGTCTGACTGAAAACTCAGAATCCTTGCATTGTGATGGATTTTTTTGTTGTCGTTTCTTATTAAGCACAAAAAAGGTGTGTGGGAGAAATCACAAGGCAGAACTCACCAGCCAGAGCAATGCTGCAGCCCACAGTGACAGGAGTGTTCTACACTAAGGGAAAAAGGTGCATTGTGCTACTGTCACAGTGCTCAGGAGCTCTCTCCAGCTCTTCATTTTGCAGCAATGGGGTAGAAATGTACCACATATTGTCAAGACCAGCCCTTGCTAAGCATCTACCCTGAAGACTGTGCTGGACTCTAGTGGGTGTGTTGACAGGGCCACAAAGTTTGACAGGGCACAAATCAGACTGTGCCCTGGGGAGAACTGAATGGGGAAGGGGCAGTGGAGACAAGCCCTAAGCATCCCTCTGGCACGGAAAGATGAGTGGCATTTCAGACAGATTAGTTTAATTCTTGTTTCCTGCAAGTGTTTTATTGCATTGTCATTATCACTGACTGGTGCTCCTCACTGCTGTAGGTAACATTCAGGATGTGGACATCCTCCTTCACAAACACATTCCAGAGGAAAGCAATGAATCATGGAGTGAGAGAAAAGGTGGTTTTCATTTGTCTGTCCTAGAAGCCTATGTCCAAATATGCCAACATCTCCTCCTAAGTCAGGAGGAGCCAAGATAAATCATTCCCTGAAGAGTTTAGAGGATGTTCATATTTTTACCATTTGAGACCTAATGTTCCTGTTGCTTGTTCTAACAGCTTCATACCATTAATTTCAGTGTGGGTGCTCACATGCTATGAACTCCAAACTTGACCTCTCCACAGTTTGAAACAGGTACTACAGGCTCATGCCAGCGTTTTCCTCTAATCCTGCCAAGCATCACCCTGGCAAGCCCTGGAGAAATCAAGATTATGCCAATCCTTCTCCTTCCCAGACCTTAACCCTTTTCTGATCACTGACATCACCCTGCCAGGAGACACAGGGAGTGTGGAAAGGGAATCACTTCAAAACGTGTCCAACTTCAGTGTAGCTCACTTTTACAGAAGAGGCTGCCGAGCTCTCTTGAGCAACAGAACATCTGAACTACATGGCTGAGAAAGGATTTCCCAACTGCAACAGGAAAAGGGCAGCAAGCATTTCAGTGGCATCACAGACTTAGGACTGTAGGACTTTGTAAGGAGAGGTGACACCTGTCCTGACAGAAGGAAAAGCACTACAGGAGCCACAGAGATGTCTTACCCCACATAAAGGGATAATTGAGGGACTACTGAGTCCTCCCAGCCTAACCTTCCACAGCACACTGCAGTACACCCCCAGCACATCACAACCCACATTTTATGAGCTCCAGATGGGGAGGGTGTGTGCTACAAGTGCACCTGTGCTCAAGGATCTGCATCTGTGCATAATCCCAGGTGTACTTAACCCCATGTGTGCACCTGGGGTTATTCTGCAATGCTTTGACTGGGCCTTGCTCTTATATCACTCCTAAAGCAGAAAAGGAGAAAAAAGAAGACAAAAGCTATCAGTTTTTAGTCCTCTTGGTAATGACATTGTGTTGACAGCATTGATGGGACAGGACTTTATCAGAAGCTCAAATGCTTTGCAGGAAATGGAAGAACACAAGCATGTACTTAAGGCATATTCATGGAATCACAGAATGATTTGGGTCGGAAGGGGCCTTTAAAAATCATCTAGTCCAACTCCTGACATGTCCCAAGGGAATATCAAAGAGGGGAATTACTAAGAACTGCTACTCAATGGATACCAGGAAAATGATTAATTGCTTACAAAGAAAATTCTCCCTGGGGCTACATTTTGTTTTTATTAGGTGGGAAGACCAGATGAAAGAAGAGAAAATATTGCAGTGACAACCACTGAGAGCCCACTGCAGACATCCTCCCTCCCCCATGGCTGGCTGCAGCGTGGGTTTTGTGGACAGATGATCTCTTGGGTGTGTCTACATGTAGGTGGTGGAGAATTAACTGTAGGCATGAATCTGAAGCTCAGAAAACCCTTCATGTTCTCAGTCAGGAGTAAAGCTGTAGTAAGTCTAGTGTAGAGGGCTGTGAATTGACTGACTGCTCCACACCAGTGAGATGGGAGCCAGCAGTGGCCCAAAAATCCAGTCAGACATGAGTTGTTTCTGCAACATGTACCCTGGCTTCTCTTCATTCCTTCCCAAGCTTAAGCTGCAGTTTTAAATTCTCAGTTGATGAGGCAGATCCAAATTACCATGCCATTCTTCACAGGCTAAGAGGCTGAGTTCTTTTTTTTCTTTTTTTTTCTTTTTTTTTTTTTTTCTTGCATAGGAGGGAGAGGTAAGAAAACAACCTGGCTTAGTCATTTCTGAAATGACTGGGTAGTGTGTTCATATGTGCTGTGAGAAGTTCAGTAGTAACCTAGAGATGGAGACAGAAAAATGCAGACTGGCAGCTCACATCCTTGACAAAGCAACTCCTCAGGTCTAAAAGGGGTATGGTCAAGGTGACTTGAACTAAAGGACCTGTAATGCCTAATTGAGTGTCTGTAGGATGTGGGATGACAAAATGTGGAGAATTTTAATAATTTAAATGCATTAAAACTCAAATGTTTGTCTCAAAGTTAAGCCACACCTTGCACGTGACCAAACACTGAATTTCTGAGACCTCAGCATTCACAAAGTCTGTGAGTGTAAAACACTGCTGTTCTTTCACTGTATGGATTTGCTTTCAGCAGTCACTCAAAAATGCATTTTGAGCCCCTGACACTCCCATTTACTTCTCAGAGCTCCTCTAAAAACCTTTCAGATCTGTGTTCTGAAAAATTAGGTGAAATATGTTACCCTGATCCCCGCTGCAACCTCGGCTCCACCCAGAGATCTCACTCACAAGTGTGTGTGTGTGCCAGACCCTTGGTGGCACATTCTCCAGGCTCTCCCACAGACCCACATTCCCTCAGGGACACGGAGCAGGTGCTGAGCCCTGCTCTCTGTCTCTCCCCTACTGAATCTTCATCTCAGATTTTATCGAAGGAACCACAGTGATCTGTCACAACAGGACTTCCTAAACCAGCAAAGAAGAGGCAGCGTTTGGGCTGTCCTGCACAGCTGATGGTGAAATGTCATTTGGTGATACAGAGAACTCAACACAGTGATACTGAATCTCAGAACTACACGGGACTGTTTCCTCTTCCCGACTTCCAGATTTTAACACCAATGTCTCATAGAAAAGAAAATACAAAGGTTCTGCTGTCTCCAGCGCCTGAAGTTCCTGCATTAAAAAGGAAACCTTGATATTCTTTGACAGACACAGAACCTAAATGACCCTCTCCTATCAGGAGGCAGGCTCATTAGTGCAGTTATGCATTGGCAGTAAAGCACCAAGGAAGAGAAAAAGCAGCCACACTGCATTCATTCAATTACTTTGGTGCTCACGTCCTCCTCTGCATAGGACTTGCCCAGAAGCAGTTAAGGTATGTACAGGCAGTTTTTCAAGCTGCAGCATATTGGAAGAAGACTGAAAGCAATAAGGAGTTCAATGCAGCTCAGAAACTCTCTTGCATGATTACTCTGTCTTCAAAAACCAAGTCAGGCACAAAGGGAAATAAAAATAACCAAGGCTGGAGCTTTGATGCTTCAAGACAGGAAAGAAAAAAAAAAGTCTGTGCCCTCTTTTCCAAGCACAAGTGAAAACCTACATTTACTAAAATGAGTGCTTGGCCCCATGCACTGTGCCATATTGACAACAGCTACTGCAGTTTAATCAAAAAGCCTCTATTGGCAGAGCTTGGCACCTTGATGGTACCTTTTAATTCATAAACATTTCCTCCCTAAGAGGGATGAATTTGCATGTTAGCTAGCAGAGAACCATTCTCCCTGCCGTTGTAAAATCCTACAACTCCACTGCAGCCTGATGAGCTGTACTAGCAATCACCAGCAGGGAGTTCATCCTGAAATCTCTGGGTGCAAACCAGGGCACACTTAAAATAGCATTTCTTCACTCTGCCACTCCCACCCCCATGCACCCACCTCCTGGAGTAAATTACAAGAAAACTGACTCTTCTCCATCATTCCCATTACTGAAGTGATCTTAAATTATTCAAAAGGCTGGTTAAGCTCCAGCCTTATTAATTCAAGCAGAAAGTGTGGAAGAGGGAAGACTGACAGCACACACACAGCAATTCACTTCTTATATCCTAGCACATATTTACAAGTCCATTTTCCATAAATCCAAGTGGCGTGTCCTGCAGGTGAGCAGAGTGCCCATCACCACAGGTTGTGTTACACGAAGAAGACATTGTGTCAAAAGAGTGCCAAGTAAGAAACTGTTGGGTGAAAGACTTGATGTGACCATATGGATAAGTTACAAGGGGCTTCTCCTTCACTACACACCTACCTATGTCCCTCTCCATATATACACACATATATACACACATACACACACACATAGATAGATGGAGAGATATAAATACATGTGTGCACACAGGCAAACACGCATACATATATATATATATATATATTTATATATGTATATATTCTCTTCCAGTTCTTGGAGTGGTTACAACTACTTTAGTCTACAAGGCATCCTAAGTGCACTTCCTGGCTCTAGCAATAAAGTCCATCATATTGTGGAGAGAAGTAAAGGGAATATCATTGAGGGAGAAGAACAGAACAGTTTTCTATCTTGTACAATATCAGGTAATAGGCTGACACCCCTGGAAACTATCACTGCTGTTTCTGAGCCCAGATATTTTCTCCCTGCATTCCAGGAGGGCAATTGTTGATCTTGTTCAACTGCAGAGGTGCCACTATGTTGATTTTCCCTTTTTGGTGGATAAGTAGTTGCTTCCAAACAGTTTGGACTGTGTGATACAATATTCTATGCATCATTCGTGGTTGGTTTGTTTAAAGGGAGATTAAAAGAGTTTTGCTTTTTTCTTCATGTCGTTGCGTCTCCAGAGAGGTAACTTGTCAAACTCCTGTATCGTCATGCCAAATATTTCTTGAAAAACTTCAGGTGCTAAGTGACGCTTCAAAAAAAAAAAAAAAAAAGGAAGGAATAAAAAAGGAGAAAAGGCAATGGTCAGTCAAAGCCAAAGAGACACAAGCAGGAGGTTGGAGCACCTTAGGGATTTTATGTTGCTGTGTAAGAGCCATTGCTGGAAAAAAGAATGCTTTGGCCATACACATATCCAAGTCCTCATGGACTTGGGTGCCCAAGGAGCCATTCAGGGAACATTTCACTTGCTGAATGAGCAAGAGACAGAAAAATTATTGGTCTGAAGCCATCCAAAAGGCAGTGACAGATCAGAGAACAGGGCCAGCTCCTGCACGCCCCTGTACCAGGATTTAGCAAGTCACCTCTGCTTCTGGAAATCCCAACAGACACTGGGTTTTTAGGAGTGCTCTGCAGAGGGGATGCAGCTTGATGTGCTCCAGGTTCTGAGAAGGAAGATGTCTGGCCAGGCTAACTGTTCAGCACACTTCTCTGCTGCTAATGAAACACTTTTTGGTGCTGTCCTGTGCACAGGTTACTTCTCATTCAGCCACTTTACAGGGCACTGGATGGGGAAAGTGTCTCCCCGTGGCACTGATCTAACACAGGTCTGAGTTCTGATCAGTGACCACATATCCAATAATAAAAATGGGCATAAACCCAAATTGTTACCCAAATTACCCACATTTTTGTGGCTCCTTCCTTTCATCTCCACAGAAGATTAAGGACTTAAGCATCCCCAGCATTCCCCTGGGCTGCTTAAGTCTTCCTAATCCACAAAGCTGTAAACTATATTTGTTTGTTGGCAGAGATTTAGATCCTCGTATTTTTGGATATCAGCCAGTCTTCTAACTAAGTCACAGGACACATGATGAGTTAAAGAAAGTTAGACTTTTGGTCCTCAAGGATGGCTGACACTGACTCTTAGCTAAGAGATGGTCCAAGAACAAAGTATTGCTCCATTCCAGTCTGGATCTTATGAAACTTGTGCAATTTTGGGCTTTTAGCAAATCCACAAGTATATAATGCAAGGCCTGAAAGCAGAAGGGGATTGTGAGAAGCTCAGTCTATGAGCAGGGAGACAGAGATGTGGGAGATTGTTTGAGGAGATGCAGCTGCTTCCTCCCAATGCCTGATCCCTCCTTCCCTGATTAGTGCTGAGAAATATTCCCACATTTCTCAGGACCCACATTTCAGTGTTTCAGCTTTCACAAAAAACAAACAATTTTAGCAGGAAAGAGCATTTAGGAACTTGCTTCTCTTACCTCCAGCCTGGTTCTGTCTACATCTTTTAGTATTTTATTTCGCCCTCTGTTGGTCACCATGAGTATTTCATATGGAAAAATCTGTTAACAACGTATAAGAAGGGGGAAAAAGAGATATTTATATTTATAGTCTAAAGCAGACAGGAAAAAAAATGTGTGTCATTTTCATAAACACAAAAATACTTGTTTTCCTTTTCAAAGCAAATATCAATTTGGTGTTTTGTGGTTTTTTTTCCCCTTATGCTTTTTTTCCTAAAGTTTAAATCCAGAACTTATTTAGCATTAAACTACCTCACATTGAAAACCCACAATTTTTATGCTGCATATAATACATCAGCTGACTTTGGTCAGGCAGAGTCCTCTCTAGGCATTTCCTCATCCATCAATGTATAAATTTATTAAAGTAATTGCATTTGTCACTCATTGGTCTAACTAATGGCTGCCAGAGTGTGGACAGCCCTAAGGACTGACAGTGAGTGTGTTTTAAAAACATGGAAGTACATAAAACCAACAGCATCTCTGAATAAGCAAAATATTAATTAGCAGGGGCCACTGAATTCAGTAGAATTTATCACATGATTTTCCTTGCCTTTTTGGATAGTTAAAGAATTCAAACAACTAACAGAAACAGTGCTGCTTGGAAAGGATTTCAGAAAATATGAAAATCAGTTTCTGGAATAATCCCTAGCAAATAAAACTCTTCTAATTTTTTTTCCCCCTTGGATAGACACTTTCATGCCTGGAATTAGGAGAGCTCATGTTCTGTCTGCCAGAGCATCTCTAGAGCCCTTCCCATTGCATGTCACTGTAGGAAAGCAGCATTCCCAGACCCCTCATCCAAGTCAATGAAGTTTTTCTGGAAATTTCAATGGCTACTGGCTCAGCCTTTACTGTCATTTGTGGGTCTTGTCTTAGTTGCTCACTGGGAACACGAGTGAGACCACCAAAAATCTCCGGGAGAGAGCTGAGCTATTATTCAATGTTATTTAATTTCATTATTTCAACATCTGAAGACGTTTGACTTAATCAAGTTTTGTGCAGTACTCAGCATCTAAGTTCATTCCATTGTTAACAATTATCCCAATGAACTTTTCAAAACATAATAAATAACATTCAGGCATCAATGAACACACCACTTGATTTTATTTTAAGTAGTAATAATTTAAATAATGTGTGCTTACATACCAATTATGAGATATGATTCTTATGAGATTCTGACATTGTCACAATCGTACAATTAGGTCTATACTTGGAATTACATTTTTTATGTATGATACTGGAAATGGCTACTATAAACAGCATTATAGGAAACTAAAATGTAACTTTTCATATTTAAACAGGCAGAGTTTAAGTCAAGATCTACGGTCATAAGTACATTTTATGTTTAAATATTCACAACAAGGCATGTCTCAGTCTGGGCTGGCAAGATGCACAAATTCTGTCCTTTCTGGAGATCCATTTGGTAATATCTGGTCATTCTCAGGATTATTAATCTTTATGTTTCATATGTGTCATGCTGACTCTGAACTGGTTTATTTTATTTTATTTTATCAGATGTAAGTTAGTGTTGGACAATTGACACGAATAAAAACAGTGCCAACTCACACATCCTGAGGGTCTGGCACCACCTTTATAAATAGCAACAGAAAGTGATCTATTATCTCAGGAAATTTCCCATAAATTTTTAAATTAAAATAACCATCAATAAATAATCATTAAATTTTGTCATTAATAATACTGACAGAATTTGCCACCCAAAATAGCATCCCAAATCACTGGGTACATCAACAGCAGTGATGACTGTAAGAATTTCTATTGCACTGAAAGAGAAATTATTTGGAATAAAAAGCAGTATCTCAGGAGTCCCCACAGTCTTATTTATATAATATATACAACCACTTGTAACTGCACAGTGCACTGGGGTCTCAGCTTATAAAGCCAGGGTTATTGCCTTGTACAGTTTGCCTGGAGGTGACTCGGAAGCACAAGAAATAATCTGGTTTGCAAAGTGAGCGCCTCACTTAACTGCAGAAATTCTGATCCTTGCAACTTTGGCAAAATCATGATTTCATGGAAGGTTCACCAGCAATAAAATTGTAATATTTAAAACACAGCCCTGGTTGAATTCCCTCCATATATTATATTCATTTTTGACTCAGGCATCTCTAGACATAGCTGTAAAAGCATTTTAATTTTTGTCTTAAATTACAGTTAGCTGACACTGTCTCTTTTTCCAATAAATCTCCTGAAGAGTTTCTCATACAGGGAATTCAATTATGGACAGGTCTCAGGTTAGCAGTGCTGAGAGCTGAGGAACAGACCCAGACAGACATGTAGATGTCTTACTTCCAGTCAAAGATTTCCCATAATCTTTGGACTTAAGACAGCCTCAACAATGTCTTGTGAGCCACAATATTCTGCAGCACTTTCCAAACTGGACAGATCTGAGACCTTCCCAGGGAGTTTGGCCTGGTGCTTTGGCTGGTGAAGCCTGGCAGAGAACCAGCTATGGAGCACCTTCCACATCTGTCACTTTGTCCCTAGAAAAGCTTCCCTAACCCAGGGATCACACCTGGGCTGCCTCAGCCTGCCTGAGCACCAACACCTGCAGAACAGTCCAGAACAAAGGGACAGGTTTGGCACATAAGGAGCAGGGGCTGAGGTGAGGTAAAAGAGAACAAGGAAACTAAGAAATTTCCCATATTTTATCTGCATTTCACAGTAACACCTTCAAAGTCTTGAAGGAAAGTGAATAACATCTGCACTTGCCTTTGGCTCCAACATGTTAGGCATAGACACTCCTCTGTCCATTCTCATTCCAGGGACATGACCATCCGGGAGGGACTGCATCGGATACAGGCACACATCAGACACAGAGGTTACACACACAGAGGGTAAAGGCACTCAAGTCGTGGTGAAGACAAAGGTGAATTTGCCCTGAGACTTCCTTCAAGTCTTAATTCTTGGTCTTACTATTTCAATCATTGCCATGATTTCAATCATTGCCATGGCTACTGTTCACTACTCCTCTGAGCAGGCAGATCCTTCCATCCCCTCAGCCACCACAGCTCCTGTCCCTGCTCAGGCTGGTGACAGCCCCTCCCTGAGCTGACCAGCACCACTTTCCAGGGGACATGGGCACCTCAAGAGGGTGGTGGTCCCTCTCCCACCCCAGTGACTAGGTGGAATTCTTCTCTAGTTCTTCCCTAGCATTGATTCAGATCCCACCCAACAGCACAGAAAGCACTCTTACACCTCTGTGCTTTCCTTCTTGTCATTTACTGTATCAGCTGAGGGATTTCTTTTTTTTTTTTTTTTTTTTTTTTTTTTTTTACAAGGGGTAATTTTTTTGGGTAATTTTTACTATGAACACAAACAGGAATAAGGGTAAAAAGGTGCTGGTTTGACACAGGTACTAAATCTAAGGAAATAACATTTGGAGTACAATACATGGACAGCTCTGCTCCCCTCCCATAACCTCATTCCCTTTCCAATCATCATGATTTTGATACGCCATTAACAAAATTATCCAAGTAATTAAACAATTTCTTAAATTGCCATTTCATATTGTGATTGTGCTGAGGAGCCAGGCAGATTCAAACCATTCTGAAAAAAGCCCTGCAGGCAGTAATTGAAGTAAAAAGGTTTCTATTTGCAAGCACACTTCTTTCTGGCTCATCTGGGATGGCAGCACTGTAGAAAACTACTGAACAGCCATCTTGTCTGGAGAGCAAATTCCAGGGTAAAATTGAGGAGTTCAAAGCTCCTGGTATGAGAGAAAATTCCCTCCGGAAGAGACTTTCTATGTGTCTCTGGGGTCAGTACTAGAGAGGCTGGAAATAAATCCACCCTCACGTGTCCAGAGAAGGATATTACAGATAACTCATTCAGGAACAGACAGTGCAGTTTACAGGGCAAGTCACAAAACAGGTCTGAGCTGTCTCAGCTCGGCTCTGGGGAGGTAACAAAGAGAAATCCAAGGCTGTGCCTGCTTTTTGTTGATAAGGATCTACATTGTGATTATGCTTAAACATGCAGGAAAATCAAAGCTATTGTCTTAAGAAACCCTTCCCTGTAGTAGAAATTCAGAGTTGAACAAGTAGCTGCTTTAGGTTCTGCTGTCAGTTGATTGATGAGAACCCGTACTCTACCTGGAAATCTGAAAATCAAAAGAGAAATCTCATCAGCTTTAGAGTGTGGAAGGACAGGAATCAGTCACAATCTACCAGAGAATCCTTCTCTGTTTTCTAGTCTACCTGATTTTTCCAAAATCCCATCTGATTCTCTAAAGCCAGCAACATTTCTAATTTTGGACTTAGTTTGTAGAGTCAAACACTCCAAGTATTGCAGTTCTTTTCATTAACTCTCCAAGTTTTGTAACTTTCATAAATAATATTGTCAATTTTTATTTGGCACTGACTGGTACCACATCCAGCTCAAAGTCATACTGAAGATCATGAGCAGCAATGAGGATTAGAGGGCATTATCTCCCTTTCTTCACTATGGCACATTGCTCCAGACTGCACAGTGGATAGTAATTTTCAGAGAAGAAAACACAAAACTCACAGAACTCAGTTAATATTCCTGATGATGCACACGTTATTTGCTTTCAATTTGACCCAATGCTAAAGTATGAACAAGGATCCGTTCTACATAACAGATTTAGCAAAATAAACCCAAAATTTTAAACAGCTATTCGAAGTGCTTTGAGTTAACTGGAGTTTGTCAAAGAAAATTAAAAAGTACTGAGCAAATACAAAATAATCATATCCACAGCCTTAATATAAAACAGCAGAAATGATCAAACATCATAACATTTTTACATTTATTACTAATAGGCTGTAAAAGGCTCTTCATCCTTACCTCTAACAGCACCACTCACATCCCCATAACTGTTGTACTGACCAAAATCCGTAGAGACCGGCTGTAACAGAAAAAGAGGCACAGAACATAAATTCACACTTCAAGACTTTACAAGCAGGTTGGTACATGGGGAGAAATAAATTGCTTTAATTTTTTTATTTCCCCCTCAATTTTACAACATTTCTTCCTTTGCTTTCTTGCCTTTTTAACAAAGTAATTTGTGGGAGGGGAAAATAGGTTTGGTCTGACTTCAGGTGGTTTTATAAGAAACATTTATCAAACTGGAAATGCAATACAATTGATATGGAAATAAATACCATGGATAATTAAAGCCACCTTTCACTTCTCAAAATCACTATCTTCTTACCCTGTGAAGTCCATTTTTTCCATACCCAGGGAGAGAAGAGGTTTTGGAGGCTGAAGCATGTGCTGTTGAATGAGGAAGGGAAAATATTTTACTGGAAAAATCCCATGGACACTAAAAAACTAGAGCACTTGAGGAATCACCTGTTACAAAATACACATACACACAACTGAGACACACTGACTGTAAGAAACTGAGTCCCAAACTCAGCACAAACTTCCACACATTCTGTAAGTTACAAACAGGTTTTTCATGCCATGGTGGCAGGCCATTAATAAGGAACACTGATTTTTCCAGGCTCAAAATCAAGGTGGTCTCCCCTGGATTGAAAATAATGCTCATGGATCATCCATGGCATCTGCTTTGGCATCACCCCTGATTCCAAAAGGGAATTCAGGATGGCACTGATTATCCTGCAAAGAGGGATGGACACGTCTCAAATAAAGGAGCTCTCCAACATGTGCTAAGGTTAACAAAAGCATCATAAGCTTTGACTTGAGCAGGTAGACTCTGGCCCCATAAAAATTAAAGACAGTGAGAGCCAGAGGAATCCTCTCCAAGGCCATCAAGGCAACACATTTATAAAACAGGGAACACAAGGAAATCTTCGTTTGCTTGGCAACTGCTCCAGTGGATGACTCCAGAGAGACTCATCTTGTCTCCTCTTGGCTCAAAGTACAGCTTTCATGTTACACTGGCTGGTGAATGAAGACAGTAAAATAAAACCCCCAAACTCTTCCCTGGAGATGTGAGAAGGCCACAGCCATACAAAAAAATGTGCAACAAGGCAAATAATCTAAGTCACTAATCTAAGTTAGCTTTTGTGCTTCTGCTTTGGAGCAAAATACACCCAATTAAAATATCAGCCCAGGTCAAAACACTGGCTGTGTTTGGAATATGTAGCCCTACTGGTCAATAATGGTGAATATCTTTCCCTGGAAGAAGAGACTAAGCAGCGACAGGAGCCACCAGTGTAAGCAAAATGTGTTACTGTAATTTAATAACCCAGCCTATTAGCTTGTGTGTGATGTCAGTCACTGAACACCTCACCCCACTCCATATCTATATTAAAGCAGCTCTCTCCTCAAAATTGCCTAATAATCCTCAGCCTCATATTTCTTCTAATTAAAAAAACAACCACGACATTCCTCCCCTCACAAAACCAGGCCACTGATGAATCAGGCCACTCTTTCAGGGCAGATCACCACACAAACACATATCAAGCAGCTTTCCCAGCTGTCTCTCTTCTGGGACACTACTTGATATGTGTGTCTACTGGGTGTGTGCATTCTGTGTTGTTTACTACCCGTTATTCATGATTAGCTTTGTTGCCTCCATGAATTACCTGGAGAATCGTAACGACTGGCAGAAAGGGCTGACCTACCGCGACTCTCCTTTTCCATCTCTTCCTTCAATATTAACTGTCCCAGACCAGAGTTGAGCTACAAATGGCAATTAAAAAAAAACATATCAATAAAATAAAGCTGACCAAGACAGTGGTAAGATTTGCTTACAGAAAGCACAGGGGCACTTTTGGATGGTGCTCAGAAACAGCACGAGGACAAGCTTATAACCACCTTCATGAGCTGCTCCTCCTGCAGCTGCCGGCGTCTCTGCAGCTCCTCATCATCTTCCTCCCTTCCACTTGATCTGCGTCTCATGTCAGCTCCTGCTTCCACAAAACCACAGCACAGAGAGAGCTTTGTGCATCAGTTCAACTGCAGCTCGAAGATTTCAATGCTAGCTCACAGAACTGGTCAGTTTGATTTGCTGAATAAACAAAGCAGTATTTCCTCGCAAAGCCAAAAGACTTATTCAAAAATTCCTTCTTAATAAAACTCACTTGGGTAGCCTGGCCTATGGTTATCAGGCTTGTTATAAACTAAAAAAGAACTTAAACTACACACAAGTTCCAAACCATGATATGGTCCTGGATACAAAAATCATGGTTGACCCTAATACAGAAAGGAGCTCACGCTGCTGCTTCTGGAAACATAGAGTTAATAATACCAGCAACTGATCACAGCTGAAAACCTAAATTCTCATTTACATTTACTCTTCTATCTAGACTCAGAGAAGCAAATCTGAATTAACATTTCAAATGGAAAATGAAACTACATTAGTCTTCTAAATGAACACTCGTATTTGAAATAAACAAGGCATTGGTTTTAGTCTAAAATTAAGTAAACTAATTTGATCCATTGGATAAAGCTAAAATAAATAAAGGCACAGGTGTTCTACATTTTAGTTCCTTAGTTTTTATTGAATAATTTTTATTTTCTTGAATACTCTTAAGAAATAATCCAGTCTGGATGCCAGGACAATTCCATGAATACACAGAATGTGCTATTGCTGCAAGCATTTAGACAGCAGTTCTACTTTTTTCTGCATAGGGCTTTTTCTGATTTACCAACCTGTGCTAGACAAACTCACAGTGTTTAAAGTATGTAGACATTTCAAGTATGTAAATGACAGAGCTTCAAGTATGTTGATGTTATTCCTGTGACTCAGGGACTTTACATGTTTGTCAGGTTGCAATCCCAACTAAAGGACATTTTCAAAAAGCTGCTGCTGCATGTGCAGCCCCTTCAGTTGGTCTCCTGAGCTCTCCCACCCTGTGTCTCCTCTCCCAAAACTTCTGTGAAGATCCTACTGTTATGAAAGCCATACATTCCCTCACAGAGACCTGAATCAAGCAATGCCTCAGTGCTTCAGCCATAACTTCAGGAATGAACCAGGCTAGATCACTTATTTTATGCTACAGGGGTCAATAAAAACACAACAGAGGGAAAAAATACAAAGAAAAAATATTAAATTGATGATGCACATGGATTAAAGAAAAGAAAATAAAACATAGGTAGTGCTACAACACAAAAGAAAAATACAAAGTCTGTAGGAACAGTAACTCTGAAAATCAGGAATTATTTAGTTTGTTAATTGTTCCAATTCAGTTGTTGCTTCTTGCCATGAAATTAGTCATGTGGTTGGCAACAATCATGTTTTCTGTGGAATTTTTGCTATTAGGTTTGGACTAAAAGATTAAACAGAATAGCTGAGAGAAGTCAGGATTGTGTGACACACCACACATTTTAAGTTACTGTACTAGAGTTCAAAAAATTTGCTTGTGGGTTAATATCTGTGTGATCAATCCCAAAGTCCTTCAGCAAAGCCTCTTCTACTCAGTGCAATTCAGCAGTTTTAGACTCAGACACTCAGTGGTCTCACCAGGAGAACTACACTTTGTGGTGAGCATCAAGTGGACACCACCTTTCCTACACCTTTTTCCAGCTGTGCTGTCCATGTCCCCTGGTCAGCAGTACCTTTGGAGCTGCAGAGATGAAGGGTTTGTGTTTCCATACCTATGGCAGCCAGGGAGGGAGGGCCTGGCCAGTGGTCAGTCTCAATCTTTGGTATCTCGTTGGGTGCTGGTGCATGAGCTGCTGGGAACTTGGAGGACTTGATGATATCCTCGGAGGACTTGCTCTGTGCTGCCAAGGCAGCTGCATCTAGATGGCAATCAGGGAACTTAGCCATGTCATGATCTGGAGCAGCACAAAGTCAGCCTCATTTTGGCAAAATTTTATACTTTACAAGAAGTTAGTTTTCAAAAGCAAACATTTGCATGTTTTGCTTTTCCAACTGCAGTTTGAAGCAAAGCAATGCCTTTTTCTTGCCAATAGATTGGAATCAAAGCTTCCTCTCCTCCCGCATCCCCACCCCAAAGATAATCCCAAATCAGCTTTGGATTTAACTAGGGTTTCACAGTGTAAGAATGATTATGCAAGAGTGAAAAAATGCAACCTAACAGGATTTGTCAATATCTCCTAAGGACAGCTGATTATTTATGAAGATGAGCTCAGATTTATGTCCTAATAAGTTTTCCCTCTACGGGAAACCAACTAATAGATCAGAGTAACAGTACAAATCCTAACACTACTGATGCTAATTATTTCATCTGTGAAAAGCTGCAAAACAAAGAAGAAACCTGAAACAAATAAGTTTAACTAGAGGATTTTTTTGTGCTGCATGCCCTTGCTTAGAGCAATCAGTAGTAGTAGAACCAGATATGAACTTATTAATAAACACTAAACTCCATCAAGATCAACTTGACAAGGCAAGGCACTTGCAAAGCAATGAACCTCACCAACAAAATAGCTTGGTAAAAGGGCTTCCACTTAAATTCCATTTTAAGCCAAAGCCTTGTCAAAGCATGTGAGGATGTGCATTATGGCTTTCTCTTCTTAAAATAAAAAGAATCATCTAATAGGATTCAGTGTACATTAAACCCAACCTTAACTACGTCTGAGCCAGAAAATGTTAGCTCAAATCACCTTTGGAAAGACATTTTTTAACAAAGTGATGCACTGTGTTGCTCATCCAACATGTTCCAGGTAGCTGAGCAATGTCAGTGTTAGATATCACTGGGAATTCTGAGATTCTGAGCAGCTGATGATTGGAAAAGTCTAAGCATAACTGCAGGCATGGAGGAAGGTGGTCAGAGTTTACAAAAGCATGACTTCAAACAGTACTTACGCATTAGAATTGGTGGTGTCAGTGGTTAAACATTCACATGTTAATGGGAGGTGAGGAGATACATTAAAACCATAAAAATAAACAGAAAAAATGTTAAGACTTTTTTTTTCAAAATGAGTTTATGGTCTGAAACTTAAAAAAGAAAGAGGGGAAGACCCTGATGTGATACCAGAGCAGTGTAATCTGCAGTGCTCACTCCTAACTACAGAATGGACTTGTGGGCTTCCTGCTCACCCCAGCTCACTGGCTCTCAGCCAACTGTTCATCTAAGCCCTGCAGTGCTGCTGACTTGCTACTTAACCCTAAATACATTTCACTGGATAAAACATCTGCAAAGGGATGAAAAGTCAGAGACTACAAATAGTGGAGTCATCTGTCTTTCACTGAGGTAAATAAAAACTATCTCCTATGCACAGCTGTCTGTCCACAGCAGGAGGGAAGAGTGAACACACTCCTTCATGATGATTCCTTTATAACATTCCTTGTAAGAATGAACACACTCCTTTATGATGCAGCCTTCCCCTGTGAGACTAAATACAGGCAAGGCTGTGGGCTTCTGCCATCACTGTCATTTCAGACTTGCTATGACTGTTCCTTGTAAGAGTGAACACACTCCTTTATGATGCAGCCTTTCCCTGTGGACTAAAGACAGGCAAGGCTGTGGGCTTCTGCCATCACTGTCATTTCAGACTTGCTATGACAACACCAACACCAAAAAGCTCAGAGCACTAACACTGCTGTCCAACTCAGAACCCAAACACCTGGAAAAACAAGTACAGCAAACTACATGAGCTGCATCACATGGCTGAGAGTCAAATTAGCCCTGTCACTGATAAGTCACCTATAATATCTTCACTAATTAAAGATTCTTATTTACAACCACATTAAAGGTACATCTGGAATTCCAGTCTGAGTATAACATCTCCATCTTTGCTGCTGAAATAAATTATTGTACTGTATCTGTTTAAAATAAGGATATTTTGTGAAGTCCCTGTCAGAGATCAGTCTACTGTTAACCCATTTTAACATGACCAGTATCTGTACTCTTAAAATAAAAGCTTAAAGAAGAGAAATGTTGGAAGGTATCATAATGCAAACAGCAAAATCTCAGCTAATAGCAATTTTGCCATTAACATCCACATGGCAAGATTAAACCATATAATCCAAACAAAACAACAGGCTTTAAAACATAATCACTTTCCAGGACATGCAATTACAGCCACTTCAAGCTTGGACTACTAAATTTTTATGCTTGCAAAGCAAAAATTGAATGCTTTTCACTAACTGCACACTTTTAAATTCAGTTGACACTTCAATTTTGAAATAAAATGGGAAAGGTCATTTACCGTGCTGTTTGTAGATGGGTGGTTTCCTGTAAATGTTGACACCTTGATCTGTGATATTAAGAAAGAGAAAAAAGGGAATGTGAAAACTACTTCAGTTGTAGATAAAGATAACTCAACCACTAAAGCAAGAGATAGACCAAATCAAGGATGTAGCACAAGAAAAAGCCAGAAAACTATTTCTAGTATTATACAAAACCAGATTATTTAAAGAAAAGAAAACATAGGAACAAGTGAAAAGTCAAAGACATGTGGTATGAAGTCCTTTGGAGCTGATTCTGTAACATGTGGATGCATCAACTCATGAACCATCCATTTTAAAGTGGGATAAAAGAGAAGAAATGTAAGCAGGCAAGACATTTCAATGGTGAAGATACAAGCCATTTGGGGAAAACTACCCCAAATAACTTCTGTGGAAAATTGTGCTTCAGTCAGAACAGCTCAATTTTCTTTCCAACTGACTGGCTGGATTGAACAGAGGAGAATGCAGTGAGCCTACAATTCACTTCAAAATCCAGAGAACAAAATAGCCACCTAGAAAACTGCTTTGAACAGGCAACAACAGCCACACTTCAGTGAGTCAAAGGGATTCTTTATGCAGTGTTCACTGATATGCTACTAGTTCTCAAACCATAAGGACAGATTTTTCTTTTTTCTGTAATTTTTTTTACACAAGGCCCACCATATTGCATATTACCTATGTAAATCAGAATAAACACTTCCCAGAACTCTAATGCAGTAAAATCTATAGCACATCTAAATTGTACCATATTTTTCCAAATAATAATCTAAGACAGGAACCATTTTGTTCTAAACTACCTTCCCACCGCAGCCAACATTTCATGTATTCAGCAGAGCTACAAATAGAGAAGCTAATCCAAAATCAGCACTACAGTGCAAAAATGTGCCAAAATCTTATTAGAAGAGCAAATTGAGCTACAGGGAGCTAGAAAATTAATGTCATAAACCCATTTTGCTACTTTATGTTGCCTGAAAAAAGTTTTCAGTTACATTAGAGTGAAAGATGAAAAGGAATTTCAGAAACGCATGTGCTGTATCACAGATCCAATTAAAGTCTTATAGGAGACAACTTTGCCTTTGGTGTTAAGGAAAGTTAAACTTAAAAAATCTATTGAAACAGAGGCAAATCTTACTCTGCAGAACTCTACATCCTTAAATAAACAGGCAAACTCATTGCACACAAAGGCTGTGGTATTTAAATCCTGTGTGGGATCTGTTATGGCCACTTGACCAGCAAACAGGTAGGAACATTTCAAGGGTAGTCATGCAGTCCTTCTGCGCACACGGACACCAGAAAGCTCCAGGGAGGATGGGAGCACAGCTCCTTCCATGGCTGCAGGGCCCCAGCCGGCGAGGAGAGCTCCCACACCAAGCTCCAGGTCATTTCTCACAGCTATTCATGCAATTAGGCTTGAGTTTAGGTGAGGCACTGAGAGCCAGGTGAGCTTAAGCGGTTAAAAGAGCCAACCTCAGCCAAGCCAGGTCACCCTGACTGAAAGGGGGGCTGCACAAACTGTTTGTCTGCCAGATTTGAGGGGAGGAGGAAGGGCAGTAACCTCTGGCAGTGAGAAGGAACACCAGGCTGAAGGGAATCTCAAAGTAACTGGATAGAACAAGGCTTTCATCTAGCACTGAAACAGCCAGATGCATGTCCAAACCCTAGGGACACACAGCTCATCCCATCAAAATCCAAGACGTGGTTTTCTCAGATGCTGGAACAACTGCAGAGCTCACTTCAAAGCAGAGACTGCTCTCTGTAGAAAGGACATCCTAAGGCACACATATCCTCGTGGATCTGCAGGTCTCTCTGAGGACACCAAGCCATTGCAAAGAACAAGAAACAACCTCACCTGCTTTAAAAAGAAAGGGACACTAAACTAGAATTGCTGTGTTCAGGACTGAAACAGGCCACAACAATCTGAATGAACAATATATATTAATGGCTCACTGGCCACCTCTTTTCTGCGTGTGACTCAAAACCAACTCCTCTAAAATTAGGAGAGCTATGCTGGCGCTCAGCTGGTGCAACTGAGAGAAAAATCAGGCCCTACGTAGTTCATGTACAGCTCACAGGCCATCAAACAACAATGAAAAATGAAGTATTCTAAGAATGAAACACTTGACCAAGAGAGTAGCTAAAAATCACAATAAACCGCTACGTTTCTTAAGGCACTACTCCTCTCAGCAAGCCCAGAAGCAGTTCCAAACCCTGAGGGTGCAACCCATGGTAAACGGTGTGAAACGATGGAGACAAGACAGAAGTTACAAAGGCTACATTCTACACTGTGACAGGACAGCGAGACACACACAGTGCCAGCTCCTACCTGGAACATGGAAATGTTTAGGGGCCTGAGCGTAAGTTGGAGTGAGAGGGCGACTGTCAGGCCGATAGGGGACAGGGGAGTTCCGACCGCTGGACGGCTCATTGCCTCCAATGAAAGAATGGAGAAAACAAAATGAGAAGAGGGAGAGCAATAATTTAAAAAAAAATAAATTAAAAATTAAAAAAAAAAAAAGCAAGCCCAATCAAACCCAAACAAAACTGGTGGAATCAAAACCTCCAGGGAGAAAAGAAGTTTGAACCAAAAGTATAAATACAAACAATAAGGAGAACTGGTAGTAGCCCTGGTGACTTTTTTCCCCCCCTGATATTCCTGCAGAGACAAAAATTCATGTTCAGGCTGGAGTTGAGGTTTGAGCGGCTCAGACTCTTTCTGACGGCATGCAGGCAGGAGCTGTGTGCTCGTAGCTGGTGATTAGATGGGCAGTATAGAAAAGAAGAATGGAAGGTTACTTAGCAATGATTTTTTAGTACGGAGATTGATATTTGGAATTAAAAGGCGCAAACACGGAGCAGAGTAGTTGATATGCAAACCCAAAGCAGATAGAAGCAGATGCTGGCAGGTACTACAGTTCACTAAACCAAAAGTGTACAGAAACCAGAAACAGAAAATAGCTGTTAGGTCACTTGGCCCATATCAAAAGGCACAACTGTTCCATAAACACTCTTTCATTGGTTTAGGAAAATTCTGATACGGCAAAATAATTTGTAAAGCAGTGCAGCCCATCTGGCGGTTGCACACACCTTGTCCGTGCCTCTCCAAATCTCTGTCAATGCAAAACTTGGTTCTGATGACAATTCACAATTCAGCAAAGCTGAATCTAGTACCTAAAAACCTTAGTTCTAGTTTGCACACACAGTCTATGCCATTTGGAGGATTACTCTTACTGGGACTACCCCTTTGCCTCCCAACAGTGCAGCACAGCAATCCAACGGCCCTGAAAGCTTCTGTGCTGTGTCAGGGTTGAGTGAGGGCTGCTGCAGAACCACGATGGTGGAGCCTGAGGATCAAGACTTAACAGCCAGATATCCATTCACATCTCTGTGTGTGTACCTCGAAAGAATGCAGCTGCCTCTTTTATTGTACTGTTCTTCAAACTAGAGTAAACTCACACAAAGTAAAACCATCCACAGGGGTGCTTGTTTCACATGGGAGGGGGTGACCCCAGCAGTGAAAAGTAGGGGAACATCAAATCCCTTCCATTTTTAGAGTATGCACAAGGGCTTAAAATACCCTAGAAATGTTGAATAAGAAAGCAGGGGAAAAAATAATGGAGAGTGGGGGAGGGAATGACAACAAATACAGAAGGGCTATAAAACAGAAGATAAAATAAATTTCAGGCCTGTTTCCTGTGTCCTGTTAGAGGACCCAAAGCCATAAACTCAGCACACTATTTATCCATTTGAGGTGGGGAAATAGGTGTGGGAGAAGGAAAAAAGAAGTTTTCTTTACAATTTACACAAGAAATCCTCTTTTACTTGAACAGTCATCTAGCAATCTAAAAGGCACTAAAGGGGGGAAAAAAAAAAAAAAGCTCTTTGACAAACCTTGCTGAAATGTGCCCCAGAGGCTTCAGCCAGTATACAAGTTAACCACTGCATATGAATGTTTTAAAAATTACATGCAATGTTCAGGAGGGCTTGGATATACAAAATTTGTCCAGAAGAATACATGTGCAAAATTCTGTATTTAGCACTGAGACATTTCAGCCCTAAATGACATGAAGCTCTCTCAACCACATGCATTGACGGTGATTTTCTATTCTGGGCACAGTGATGCTGGCCAGCTAACAGTAAGGGCTAGGTTTGTTACTTCTGAAAAGCTGCATGAATGGTTAGTTAAACATTATTGTTTATCTCAATCTATAGCCCTTTACTTAGCAATGCCAATATTGTGTTCTACTTCTCCACCCTGTGAGATGTTGTGATGGTGAAACACCTCACTTAATTTTACTTATGTTTCTTGATTCAACCAAGAAATTGAGTTACTTTTCAGCAAAATCATTGTTTTATCAGGAAAAAAACCCCATCAATATTTTTATGTCTTGAGATACAGTTAGCTGTTTATAGAGAACATGTCACTTTGCCTTTTTGCCTCCTTTGGCAATTATACTCAATGGAAGGGAAAAAACAAAAGGGATTTATTGACCTGTGGACTTGTCTCAACAGAGGTGTCACAAACACATCTTACCCATTGGGAGCTGGTAGGCTAAATGTGTGGCTGTTCAATTTGCAATGCTTCTGTCACTAACACTACAAATACAGGGAAGAAATCCTTCTTAGACCCCTCTCTAACTCTAGACACAACTACGTGTGCTCACACCCATGAATGTATGCTGGCTGGTCTTGAATCTGGGACACAGATAATTTGTTCAGAGAGACCTGGACATGTTGTATATTGCACCCAGCACCAGACAGAGTTACTGTGGTATCATCCTGCACGTGATGCTTTACAGATGCCTCTGTTGGCTTCTATTTCCTGGGGTACCTAATGACTCCTGCTAGTAGTAACAAATAACTCCCCTTTACACTTCCTAAGATGTCAGCCTCATTGACTCCAATCTGTTCAAGAAGGAATGGTACATCCACTTAAGATTCCCATTCGGCCATCCCTGAGGAGCCCACTCTCATAACGAGGCTTAAGTGCTTGGGATGCAGCTGCAAAACTACCCACAATTTATGGAAGCAGTGCCAACATCTGTGGAATGTGCACATGCACAGAGGAAAGCAGAGCTCCTGGCTGCCTGTGCCTGTCTCCCAGGGCCTCATGGCCAGCCTGCTTGCAGCTTTACATAAAAACCCATGAAATTTGGGTTCCCTGCCTGCACAGAAATGGCTCTCTTACTGTTGCAGATATGCTGTAACTATTCTTAACTCCCCAAAGCAACAAGAGCACTCCAGTTCACCAACACTGTAGAAAGACCTAATTCTCACACCCTTGTAATGAAGTTGAATATGTCTGTGTGTAGGCTGGGAGATGTTAAGAGATAATGGAACAGGCTTAATGTAAAAATCAGTCACTACAGCACAGCAAAAGGAAAATTCTTTTTTTTACTGTCATTCTCTTTGCTCCATCAGGTAGTTGTTTTCTGTAGCTGAATTTGTTAGGCAAGCTGCCCTAATAGCCAGGAATAGAACTGCTTGCCCACACACAGCCCGGTGTAATGCAGGTCCCTGCTGCCCTCTGAAGTGCTCACCACTGGGCTCACTGTGGGATTCACAAGCTCACCTCACAGAATCAGGCCAAAAAACCCATATGTAACCAACACTGAGCCTTCTGTCAACTTGTCACCAACACTGAGCCTTCTGTCAGGTTCCAGTTTAGCTGCTCTGCTTCTGAGCAGACATAGGAAAACAAGCAACAGTACCTGAAACCCTTACTCCTGTTCAGGTTTTGTCAAACACAAAACCTGAACATCTTCTTGTCCAGATGTGTAGCCCTTATTTCACACACAAAAATGAAAATCATTGAAAAGCCAATACATAACTGTCTTCCAGAGGAGAACTTCCACCTACATCCACAAAACCCTGGAAACAGGTTCCCCCTGTGAAAACCAACGTCCAAATTCTCTATGAAGGTGGGTAGACTCTTCATGGGAAGGTCTGTGAGCAAAGGAGTACACATTACTTTGGAACTCTTTTACATGGAAATCTTATGGGGGCTTTGTAATATTCTTGAATGCCTCTGAAAAATTCTAGGCATGCAAGATGAAATCCTGGCTCTCAATGAGGGTTTTGTCTCTGACTTCAGAAGGGTCAGGGTTTCTTTCATTCGTGGACTTGTTTTGATTCTTTCATAGCAAAGACAGTGCTTTATTGAGACAAGACCAAATTCAATGGAGAGTCCAAATTAGATTAAATGAAGTCTAAGCTGATGCATATTACACATTCTCCCAGCTTTTTCACCATATATGTTACATCAACAAACTCTCACTCTACGGCATGTTTAGCCCCTTTCACTGCTCTGATTTCTTTACTTTTGGCTGTGTTTATGAGGTTTAATCACTATGGTTCTTTAAGCCTTATGTTGTATGAAAACACACTGAAACTGGTCCTAATGTCATCTTTTCTGGCCTGAGTATACAAAATAACACAGGTGTAATGTGTCATAGGACACTTCAGTTATCATTATGCTGCAGGGAAATCATTGCCCTTTACCAAAGCAATTGAGACATGATCTGTATTTTCTGATTCCCAAATGGAAAACCCCAAAAGTTATCGTTTTGTGAAATCTTTCTTACAAACCAACATCAAGGTCACCTTCTTGTTAAAAGTACAAGTGAGAAAGGCTGAGCCACTAAAAAGATCACATGGTACCTCTTCTGTCACAGTGGCAAAAATTTGAGCTTTCAGGAGCTTGGCTGAGTTATGACACATAAATGCTGTCCAGGCTTCAGAAAATTGAAGATTCCTACAACATCTTTCAGGACATACCTGGTAAAAACCATACTTCCCACCTCTGTCTACAGCACTTGCAATCCCAATTCCAACAATAACTGAGAAAGATACCTGACCTACATGCCAAGGTGATTCTTTGCAATCTGAAAACAATAAGCATGGATTTCCAATAGTTCTTCTCATCTGTCTGTTGAAGAAGCTATTTTCTCAACAGAAAAAGAATGAATGCCACCTGAAAGAGTGTGAGCATTAATTTGGATTTACAGCAAAGAAATGTTGAAACTGCAAGGGCTATGAATTAACTGCATGCTGAAATGAGCAGTATAGCTATTTTTAAGGGTCCCAATATTTTTGAGTGAGATTTTTAAAAAAAATATAGACATAGCAGAAAAGTGGACAGTGCAGATTATCAAAAACCACCTTTAAAAAAGCAAGAGTAAAATTAGTGGTGGTGATCTGAATACTTAAAGAGCTATGATGTTGAGATCTATTAGCATTTCTTGAAACTTAAGGACAGTATCTTTCTTGCAACTGCTTTTGATTATCTCCAGTTTGAATGAATACAGAATGAATATGTGTATTATGGTGCCAGACTGGAATCTATGTTCAATTTACTCAACTTTCTCTTTTTGAGCTCTTGTAGGTGATATAAGCTATGACCTTCTCCCCCCAAACAGAAGAGATGGCCCAGCCAAGTGCTCCAACAGAACTCAGAGTAAAACCACATTCACAAAAAGCAGGAAACAAAACTAAAAGCTTGCTGAGCTAAATGAGTCCCTTGAAGGGACACAGTGAAAGAAGAATCCTCCTCCAAATCAAACCATGGAAAGTAAAAATTGAAAAAAAGACCAGATCCTCAAATAACGTAAATCCTTGCAGTGCTACTGCCTTCAGCAGAGCCTGCTGATTTGCACTAACTGAGGAGAGGCCTAGAGATTTTGATTTTACTTTGTTGGGCCCTAATTATTGCCAAGGTGAACAACAAAGATTAAGTTCCTTTTTCCCATTGATCTTTATATAATCTTTTTTTTCTTCTTCACAGTTTTGGTCACCTTCCTCTCATTCAGGTAATGCTGTAATCAAATTTTCACTGCATGTTTTAAGAATGGGGCAGTAATAATTAAATTTGATAAACTAATTGCTGAAGGGATTGCTGTGTACTGCTTTAGAAAGAAGCTAAATTCGGCACATACAGGTTCTTAGTAATAAATGACAATGCTTTTCTGTGTATTTCTACCAGGTAAAAGCTTGGTGACTCTTCAACTAGGGCCCTTAGAAATGACATATTTCCTCCAAAAAAAGGACATTATGTCTATTCTACACGTAGTTCTGAGTGCAACAGCACATTTCGAGGCATGCTCAGCTCCACAGCCATAGGCAACCTCCCAGAGACACGCCGTGACAGCTCTGCCAGGGCGCCAACACATCTCCAGCCTGGAGGCTACTCCCTGGAGAGAGGCCTGGCTCCTTACCTTTGACATGGGGGATGAAGTGGTGTCGGAATGGGGAGTTGGGGCGGGAGTCATGGAGCGCGGGGCCGCTGGAGCGCGGGGGTGCCACGCGCCGCGCGCCCAGAGCCAGCAGCTCTGCGGCGGCGGGGAGGCGGGGGCAGGACAGAACGGAGACAAAGAAAAGCAATAAGAGAGACAGGCAGGGAAGGAGGCTTCGAAGGAAGCAGAAAAAAAAAGGCATTGAACAATTAGGATTCTGGAAAGAAGGAAGGAGAAAAAAAACAACAGAACGGTTAAAGACGCACCAAAGGGCCAGTAAATGTTAAGACAAAATTACAGGAAGTGTTAGGAGAGAGGCTTAGGTTTGAACTGCATGGCTAATTTAGCATAACATCATTGGCTTAACGAGCTTCTGAGCAATGCCTTGTTACCAGAAAGTAGCCTGCTACCAGCATGCAAACATCACAAACACTGACGCTCAATTAGTTAAGAAAGCAGCTGGTTTGAAAAGTCCCTGACCAAAAAATGTCAGTCAAGAGGCATGCAAGCTGTTTTCTATTGTTTTAAGACATTCCAAAAATGCTGCCAACATCAGCTAGGGCACCAGGGGAGGAAAAGGCTGCAAACTTTTTCAGAACTTGTAGCACTCGATTTTTGAAGAACCTTATCCTGACAACGTCAGTACAGCAGTTCACTTCTCTCTCAAGGGCTAGCTGGGAGCAAAAGAGAAGTGATCTGGGGCCACTGGGTTTATTCAGAGAGAAATTATTCTTGCAAAATAACGTGGTGAAAAGAAGTGCTCTTAGGAGGAAAAATCCATATATTTTTGTGCCATTACTCAATAAATAATTATTGAAGGAAAATTATTAAAGTAGCTTTAACAATTACCCCAAAACAAGGTAGGAAACATCAAATGACAAATTATACAGAATTACTTCTGTGTCATATAAGGACCAGTAACAGGTGAGCCCAAGATGAGATCATCTGAACATAGATAAGCTTGAACAAGTATCTCTCCAGAAAATCCTTCAGGCTGTGGACTTTGGAAGATTTTACATTGGATCACAAGTCTGGCTCGAGCCCATCTGCCCATCACAAGAGTTACATAAACAGAGATTGCTTCTGGGGAAGGTCTTTGACTGAACACAGACAGTAAAACTCAATCACAGTCAAGTCTGGAATAGGACCTGGATTTGTTCATATCCCTGAGACAACAGATAAAAATGGAAAAATCCCCTCAGACATGGAGAACCAAGGGACAGAAGTTTGCAGCTTTTTCACGTTTTCAAGTCTCTTTCAGTTTCAGTTGTAACGTCATCTTAAAAAACAGCCATGCTGTCAGCACTAAGTATGAGACACAATTTGCTTCTGTCCCACCTCCCTTGGGTCCCTTAAATAAGGCATTCACTGACAGACACAATTGGCTGCTTTCAGCCCACCCCCACTAGGAAATGGCTACAGCATTCAAGTTCCACAGTGGTGGCTCTATGATAAATCTTTAATTTTAAAAATGCAGCTCCTATTGCATATGGGCTTTTGGCATCCCAACTGTTCAGCTGTAATCACCAAGGAAGATGAAACCCTGCAATTGTATCAATTAATTTAAAAACAGATCACAAAGGTTTAATTCATTACCATACACAATAAAATCAGTCTTGAAAAGTCTTCAATGAGTAGCATTTAGCCATACATTTTTATGCATTTTGGGTGTGGATGAACGGTTCATTTTCATATCTTGCTTTTAGATATATAACCAGTAATTCTGAAGGCACTGGGAACCTGAATGACCTGTACATTTCCTATACTGTACACAGGACTTGTACATCACTGCTAAAACAGAAAGTAAAGTATGTTTTAAGTGTTCCCAGGCAATTGCCTACAGCTTTAATTAAAAAGATACCTTCCGAGTCCATGTCTTAAAAAATGACAAGCAATTTGGAACACATGGGTGTTTTTCTTCTGAATATGAGATTCTATGGCTGCACCAAGCTTTAAAGTAAATTTTTTACATGGGAATAAACCTAAATTGCTAACTTCTGCACAGTCAAGCCATAACTTTTGTTTCCAATACGTGATACTTTTCTCAAACCCCAGAATGAACTTTGCAATTCACTGCTGCAAATTTTCACTTGCTTTCAGAAACATACAAATATTTTCAGAAGAATTTATTGGAAACAAAACCAGTAGATGCATATTTATGGTGCAAGAAACAGTCAGCCTAGTGCAAAAGACTATGTCAATCCAGAATAAAAAAAAAAAAACAGGTAGAAAATGAGACATTAAAATACACAACAATTTTTCAATCCTAAACTTCCACTTCTGAGAGAAAGAAGTGCTTCACTGCACCACTGAGTGGCATAATAAAGAAACAATATTTTTGCACGGATCTGCAATGCAGTTGGCCTTACCAGGTCTGTGGAAGTGCTGGGGGGAACGGGACATGGTGGGGGTGTAGCTGTGCCGGCTGTACACGGGAGAGTTAATGGAGCCCTGGCTGGTAGACCTGTGAATCATGCGGTCCCGAACGTCCTGGTAGCCCTGCAGGACAGAGGCAGCCACTGGTAAATGTGAATGCACATTTTTAGCAGCACTAAAGTCCTGTGGATCTGAAGGCATCAGCAGAAGCGACTGAAATAGCAACACCCCTTAAGGTTTCAACCTACTTCATTAGCACTGCTCTCCAAGGACCTGCTCCAGCCCATTTTTGTAGTCAGAATTCAGTCGTGGAAGGTTCCAACTCCACCTGTAATTTCTACTAAACTCTATAATAATCCTAGATTTGCCCACATTCCCTGACTCCACAAAGGAAGCTGCATCCAGAGCATGTGTGTCCTGCATTGTCCTGCACAAGACACACAAGCCATCAGCAAGCTAACTCGGAGACCAGAAAGAATTCAATAGCTGCAGCACAGAGCCCTCTGTGGCTAAACTGACCATGTGTCACCAGCTATATCAGCAGGTATTTATATCCAAATCAGATTCCCCATGTATATGAAACCATGACACCTTGTACAGCAAAATCCAGTTTACTTGGTTTCCTGGGTGTAAAAAAAGCCAATAAAAGAAACAAACAAAAAACCTCAAAACAAACTACACCCTCAGCCCCTACCCATCCATGAAGCAAACTAAACCAGGATAAAAGGGAGAGGACTGATTAATGCATGAAGATTTACAAGAAATGTTACAGTCCCTCAATTTTTAACTAGTAGCAGTAAGTGCAGCTTTTATGTTGCAAATAAGGAACAGGATAATGCAATGATAATGACTCTGCAAGGGCATCTATAGTATCCTGACAAATGACTTCCCAACTGTTCCACGTTATTATGATGTTCAAATTATCTCCTCTGGCAAAGCAAAACCGAACCAGACCACAGTTATGTTTTCTTCAAGACAAAACTGCAGATGTTTCAGCAGCAAACATGGGTTGTTATTTCTGCTGTAAATCCTGCACCTCTTGAGACCTGAATCCACCTGTGCCACGAGGAGCAGGAATGCACCAGAAGTGACGCCTGCTGGACAAAGGGCTCTGCTCTAGTGGGAGGAGTGGCAGCTCCACTTCTTGTACAGTAAGAGCTTCAAGATTCCTTCTTAGAAATAGTTTTTGTTAAGTTTCAATACTGAGAAAACATGCTCATGTGGCAAACAGAGATGGATCTGACTGACAACAAACCCAATGCCTGCACTGGCTGAGGGAATAATTCTAATCACAGTAGGACACTGCCCCCAAAGGTTCCACCAAACTTACTTCTGCAGAAGGGGTGGGTGATAAAGTCCTTGGAGACTGAAAAGACATAAAAAATAAGGTTATGAAATATCATTGCATATGCTGGGCCAGAAAATGGTAATCTAAACATTGCTGCAAGTGCTATGACATATGACAGTGTAAAGTGGCAATGCAGAAATTACTGAGGCCATTCCAGCACTGGAACCTGCTTTTTCCACATGGCTCAGGGACTGATCCATAAACCACTGATGTTTAAAGTTTCTGGGAGAATCTTTTTAAGTGTGATTAATTCAGTCAAGTACCATGCAAATTCATCTTAGCCATCTAATCATTATAGTAATTAAAACATAGCTGTAAAGATCAAAATCAGAAAGAGTTATTAATTTAACAACCATGCCTGTCATGAAGAAATCTTTAAAATGGAAATTAAAAGTAAATAAACTTAACTCAGAGCTTTGCATGGAAAATCAAAATACAGAATATCTTTCAGGATGAAGCATGTTTTCCCTCCAACACACACACTCTGGCAAAAATGTGCTTTTCCCCAAGGCCTTACATTTCATACCCATGCAAAGGAGCACGTAGTTGTCATCAACATTTCTTTGATATGACCTCCTTTAAATCTCTGTGCTCCTCCATGGTTACGTAAGGAGAACAGACAGGAATTACAAGCATGTGTATTGAAAGAACTGTACAAAGGCCAGTGGGCAGAAATATGCACAATATTATGAAAAGTTTCTGTAACACATAGGGAAACTGAGGCAAGAAATGCCTTTAGAAGAAACATATGATTATGCGTATGCTGATGATACAAACAAGAATAAAAGCTATGTGTAATTACCAGTTATGTGCTCTTCAATCACCAGGCAATTTGAAGCTGTGAGCTCAGGATTTAATTATTTCCTTTGTGCACAAAACTTCAATATTATTTGTCATAATAAACTGAGCAAGAGATTATGCTTTTAAATAAGACCACAATTATAGAAGGATATAGCTATTAAGATAATATCTCAGAAGCAGAACTGCTGATTCTGGTCCAACTACTACACTAATGTACAACAGCAATAGTGTAAAATGTATGCAGAGTTTCTGGTAATAAATATGCAGCTGGTAGATATCCATAAATTTTGGACTGAGAGGCCATTCACTCTCATGGAGCTGGTGACACTGGGAATGCTAAGCATCCAAACAAAGGAGCAAAATTTTTTATTGGATACAGGACATCTCCTTTTCAGTATATTTCCATAAAGCTGCTAAAAACTGCTTTTGCTACTTTCCATCAAAGCCTTGAAAATCTTTTATATTCGTTTTTTCCTAATTCCTATCATCTAATAGCAGCAGTTGTAAAAACCTTGCTCCACATAGTGCATTGGAATAACATTCTCTACAAGAGCTCTCTCTGAGAGCTAACCTAAAACTTTCAAAATGAATGAAAAAAAGCACACGTTATGAGGTGCATTCCCACATTTTTCTAGTAGCAATTCATGTGTTCTCTAAATAAATGAATTTCTATCATCTGCTGGGGTTACCTGGATGCTGAGGTAATGGTCACAGTAAAAGGTAGTCACAGGAATCTAAGACTGGGAAGGCAGCCCAGAAAGTAGCATGCTGAATCCAGGTACTTTTCCTTTCATGTATTTTTACTCCATCACTAGCTGACATGGTCTTGTGGCTTTTTGGGAAATGGAAGCTCACTCTGCAGCCAAGTTACTGCTTCATCATGCACAGGTGAACTGGCAGATCTCAAACTCGGAGGCTGCCAAGGAATGTTTGCTTCTCCAGGTCTTTCAAAACCTGGTCTATCACAGAAGGCTGTGCAGGCGAGTGAGAAAAGCAGCTCCATCCCAGAACAGCAAGCCAGTGGAAATACACTGATGACTCCAGAAGAGGAAGGGGAAAGGAAAAGGGAAGGGGAAGATAAAGAGGAAGAGGGTTTGTTCTGACCAAACTTATATAAAAATTTCTACTGTGACAGGCTCAATTCTCTATTGCTTTGAGATCTGAGAGTCTCCTCTAATACCTGAAGCTCGGTCATTTTGTTGTCTGGGAAATTTCTGCTAACTTTTACAGGTGTCATTCTGCATTTCACACTGATGCCATTTTAGCTGTCCTTTAACTGAACTATCAGGTGGGATCCCTGCTCCATTTGGAAGCATCTGCCATGTTAGAAAAAATCCTTTATTCAATTCATGTCTGCTTGTTTAGAGAAAGGTGTTTCAGAGCATTTAGCACTTTCAACAATCAGAATGCTTGTAATAAAGGACAGAGAGGTAAAGTGCTGCTTCTCAATATATACCCAAGAAAAGCTGGAGCTGAGAAAAGACGGCCTCAGTGCTCACCAGGCTGCTGCTTGCAAGGCAGAAGTGACAGGTCCTGAAGAACCTGAATACCTGGCAGTTTGGGGAAATTTCTTCCTCGGTAGCAGACAATTTATTTCCGATCTGGTTTGTGTTTCCAAGGGCGAGGACAGGCGGAGCCAGCGCCGCTCCCCGCGAGAGGGCGCCGGGACAGCGCGGGATGGGCGAGCGAGGGAGCGCGGCCGGGAACCAGCCCTGCTCTGCTCTGTCCGGCCCTGTACTGCCCTGCCCTGCCTTGTACTGCCCTGCCTTGTACTGCCCTGCCCTGCCCTGCCCCATCCTGCCCTGCCTGGTACTGCCCTGCCCTGCACTGCCCCAGGAGCGCATCCCCATGCCACTTTCTCAGCACTGCCATGCTGTTTTCTTGGTTTTCTTTAGCTAAAAGCTATCGTTTTCTTGCAGCCTATTCCCCAGAATTAATTAATTCCCTAGAATTAATTAATAAATTAATAATTAATTCCCTAGATGTTTGTGTGCATCGCTGGATTAACTTTTCCTAATGTGCCTCTTGCACATCTTCCCCTGTACACCCAAAAATCTCTCTTTGCTGAGACTGGTGATTTTTTTTTTCTTTTTAAATCATGGTGAGGGGCATTTCTAGTTCTACAAGCATAAACGGAGGGTCCCCTTTTATTTACACCACATACACACCCTTTGCAAAGAGAATGCAGGATAAATCACTGCACGACTAAACATGTCACCTTCTTTGCTTTTTAAAGATGATGGGGACTCATGTACGTTGTACCAAGACTGCTGTCACTCAATTACCACAACACAAACACAGGGTAAGGGATCACTCCACCCCAATGGGCTTGTGTTCTCATTAGGGCAAGGGAAGGGATGAGAAACAGATACAAAGAGGTGAGGTAACTTGCCCAAGGTGACAGAAGTCAGCAGCAGCATTGGGCGAAAACCCAAGATCTGCTGAAAAGAAGGTGAGAGCCCCTTCTGTTTCCAGAACAAATTTTGGTAGTCACTAGAAATTAACTAAATTTAATGCTGGTGAAAATATGGTGTAAGAAAACCCCAAAGATTTTTACTTATTCCCAGAACAAGCATAAAAGCAGACAACTTACACCATATTGCTTTATCAGCTTCCAACATACTGCTTTGTCAGTAAGAAGCTTCCCTTTAAGGATTAACATATAGTTCACCTTCTCTGGTGAGATTAGTTCCCCATTTGTGACTAACAAGAGACATGTGTTTGTAGCAGGTTTTGTGGCATGGGTCAGGCCTGTTGGAACTGGTCAGAGGTCACCAATGCATCCCACAGTGGTTTTGAACCAGATGCCAGCTGGATTCACTACCAACATAAACTGGAGGGGAGAAATTCTGTTATGTTCTGACCTGTTAATCTCTTACTTTATTCCTGAGCTGAATTTCCAATTCATGATTTTAAAAACCATCTCTATAAAACATTTAAGAACAAAGGAGAAAAACTGATAGAGTTCTGATCTGCTGGTGGGCAGAACTGATAAGAAAGCAGATTATTAGTCACACTGATCTGGTGATCTACAGACCACTGGTGCCTGAATGATTTACTGTAATTCTTTCTTCTTCAACTTATCTTCATACTCAGTTCAGTTACAGTCAGTAAGGTCACTGAGATTGCAGCAGTAAATCCATTTCCACATCCATTTAGATTTGCATTCAGGAAGACTGATTCACAGGCAGATGATATTACATGACAAAGCCTCCTTCACAGACTGCACTGGAAGCATGTAAATAGTAATTGCAGCTATGGAAATTCACCTGAGAAAACTGGGGACCAACAATCTGAAAGATTTTAATTACCTTCACATACAAGTTTAGAAGAATAAATGACATAGCTTTTTCTTATGTGATACAAGAACCCTTACTAAATGTCAGCAGGTCAAAATGTGAGGCAGGTATAACACAATTAACCTGCTTTTCCAGTTGGAAGAGCACTTCATCCTGACAATTTTATCCAGTATGTCTGGCAAAGTGCTCTGGTGACATATATTTCCCCTAAGTATCTGTGTGTCCTGCTGCTCCTAGTCCACATAATATTATGGTATTCCTATCCTCCTGTGAATATTGGTGTCCCACAGCATAACAGCACATTGAAAGAATAAAGTACTGGAATGCTCTTCCCAGAGAGGTGGTAGAATCACCATCTCTGGACGTGTTTAACAAAGGCTGGACATGGCACTTGGTGCTATAGCTTAGATTCTGAGTTGAGGTGTTAGGACATAGGTTGGACTCTATGATCTTAGAGGTCTCTTCCAACCTCATTATTCTGTGATTCTGCGATTGGCTTTTGCCTCATGCTCTGGACCTTGCCATTCCCAAAGATGAGGATATCCATGGGAGCTATGAGGAAGCACAGAGGCACAGCCTGCAGACCTGCCCGTGTGTTGATGTGGGTGTCTGACCCTGCAGTCCCACCCGAGAGGCAGCACCGTGAGCGCTCCCGGTACCCAGATGAGACAGACACAAAGCAGAGTGAACAGCAGCAGCAGCAGCCACCTCCAGCAGTGCCCATGGAAGCAAAGCAGGCTCTGGATGCAGTGCACAGCAGAATGAGGTGCTGGTGGGTCATTACCTCTCCAAGACTCTGTCTCTCCTGTCTGTCCTCGTAGGCGGAGGTGTAGAATGGCTCATAAGTAATTAGGTCTGGACGTTCAATGTCATAAATGGCCTTGACTTTGGGAATGGCTGCTAAATCCTTGTAATCAAGGATTTCATTGTCTACTTTTGCCTAAAGGTCAAAGACAGAAGACAAATTAACTTACACAAATACACTGGCAATTTCTGTTTCACACAATTCATGATTTTGTGTATTTGTTGTCACACTGTTGCTACGGAAACCCCTTTTTGGCACCCTACATCTGGAGTGAATGCTTCTTGTTCTTCTCCAGCAGGCCTCCTCTGCAGCAGCTCACACTGTTTTCTGCTCTCTTAGGGAAGAAAGAACATGGCATATATAGATCTAGTTACAAAAGTTTTTTTATCCCCAGTAGTGAGCTGGAAACTTCAGCTCTGCAAATGACTCATTTTGTGGCCTCAGGCAAGTATTTTCACCTTTCTGCTCTTGTTTTCCCATATGTAAAATGGGTGATAACATCAATTTAGCTTGCAGATTACAGAGATTACAAAAGGATTTCATGCTGAAGACCACAGACAGATACTCAATTTATAACTGTGCACACAAGAGGAAACAGAACTTATTGGAAGGAAATAAAAAGACAAGGAGGACTGTCAGGACTGGGTATCCAAACTACAAATAAAATAATTACAGTGCATTCATCACTCATCCTATGCCCAAGCTACTATTTTCTTTTCCACTAAGACTGCAAGGAGATCTTGACTAGTTAAAAAAGCAGAAGTAGGAAATAAATTCCAAAGTCAGCTGCACCCATTACATGGAGACAGAAAGAGGCCTTACATTTAGTTTAAATAACTAATATATTTCTTTACTTACAGAAAAAACTTTAAATAAATCATCATACATGTTTACCTACCTTACAGAAATACATTTATTACTAAAACTGAAAGAGGATATTGAAATTGTTTTTCAACACTTCTAAAAGATACTTTATTCACAGCAGACTGCATAAGGAAATTCACATTAGTTCTGTTCTTTCTGACTGCTAGCACCTAGTAATTTCAGATTAATATGCATTTCACAAGCTCTTTAACAACCACTGGTCTTGGTGGTTCTTAAGCAATGCCTTAAACTAGAAACAAACCCTTTCTTGCTAGAGAAGCAAGGTTTGAAATATTTGGGACATTTACTCTCTACAAACAGAATTAAATCTGTTTAGCTTTTAATTACCAAATATTAAAAAATACCTTAAACCATTTTAATCCTTAAAATATTTAGATGTATCAATATATGTTATTTCTGTATTTTTACCAGTTTGTTAATGAGGTGCAAATATGTCTGGATATTCTTAATCCAATATAAATTATTACAGATATTTTTGCAGACCCTGATCTAGGCTGCCATGTTGCTCCACAGACAGTGAATCTGAGCAGAATTTATTTTCATAGGCTACAGTTTATGAAGTTGATATTACCCACATAATGGCAGTTCTCCAGGACATGCTTTGTCTTTTGATATCTGCCTGACAACAATTTTCATATCAGCTTATTTTTGTGGTTGTTGAAATGCATAGAACTAGAGTTTAACTCAGGACATGAGATTTGTAATTTTGGATATTTTTCTGCATTATTATAAATGTAACTGCCTAATTTCTGGGGTTTACTCCACATTTTCATCTTTATAATCTCAAGGTTACTGATAAAATTAGTGATTTAGCATTATGCACATTTTTTTTCCTAAATTAAAAACACCTTTCCTTTCACAATTGAAAAATTTGATTTCTGACTTGGAAGGTGTTGGATCAGATAGGTTTCTTTCAGCGTAGCTGACCCTGCTCCCCACATTCCCCAAATGCAGAGAGCAGACCTCTCAAAAATTGTGTATCAAAGTGCACAGATCTCCTCACAAAATCCTTACAAAGTCGAATGACCCCTCTGCCCTCTGTCCCTCTTCACACCACCAAGTGACATCAAAAGATTTACTCTACCTTTCCAAGAGAAATGTGACCTGGAAAAGGCCTACCCTGCTCTTGAAATCCTGTAGCTACAAAAGCTACACGGTGAAGGTTTTAACAATTTAAGCACCAAAATAAAGCATCAGTATAAAAGTGATTTATTTCAGCATGAGTAGTTCACGTGCAAACAAAGACTCAGCAGCTTATTCACCAGCAGGAATACTTACATAGATAGTGTGGCCTGGAGAGCCAGGTATACTGGAACCTGGTCTGGAATAAATGCTTTCTGATGATGTTCTTGTAGGCTGAAAAACAAAAGGGAACTTTTGAGAGCAATCTGAAGCCATTAGTGTTGGCAACTCTAAGTGAAGAAATCTGCATGTATCTTGAAAATAACTGAATTTAAGTAAAATGTCAACACAAATGCAAGCATTCTGGCAAATTCCAGTCTTGTGAGGCAAGTGGGGTTTGGTTTTTTTTTTGGTAGGGGTAGGAGTGGTGTGAGAGGGGAAGAGGTTTTCTAAATAATACAGTGTAAAAGACTAGACCGACAACAATAATGAACAAAATCAAACAACACCGGCAGAGACACTGTAGGAGCCATACAAAGAACCATCCAGGATAGTCCTGCTGGTCATTTTAGCACCAGGTTAGTTCACAACCACTGCAGGGATCAGCAGCCCAGCAGACAAAACTGTTGTGAGGAGCACAGCACACACTGTGTAATCTCTTTCCAGGTGTTCAATCCCTGGACTTCTATTAGGAATGAAATAATCAGAACTGAATTCAGCCTTCCTAAGTAAAAGCACCTGAAATCCCTGGCTTGGAGCTGTTCCCTACATCTGCAGCACAACCAAAATGCAGCAGGGAAGTCAAATGTTGGTTGCAGTGTCATGATTCTCCATACTGCATAAGTCATGATGTTTAATGACAATGTCCTGCAAACAAACTCATGAGAACACTCTCCTCTCTACAGAGCCAGTGCTGCTACATTTAGTAGATTTTCCAACACTTTTCCGGACTAAACAGACACTGGTGCCCTGGGGAAAGTTCTGTGAGAGAGGAGAAAGCAACTGATGACCTGTGGGGATCCTGAAAACCTGATGCATTTGCAAAGTATTCTATTTGATCAAAAGTCACCCTGGTTATTGCGATGATTACTCTTAAATTTGGCACACAGCACACACACAAAGGTAGTCAAGTCAACCACATCCCAACTAGAACAGAGAAACCATCAACAATTTTTGCTTCCTAATTGACTGCAAAGAACCAAATCCCATCACAAAACTTTGTGTCAGCACAAGACTCTGACACCTGTGCAGTGGGATACCTTAAAGTCACTTAAAATTTAATTCTGGAAAACAGTCCTTATCTCATCAGCTTGTGACATCAGGCCCCCTGGACTAAGGGACCTTCAGGCACACCTAAAGAGAAACAAGGCTTGACAGCCTGGCTCCTTGTTTCTTAAGAAATACTGGATGAACACAAAAAGGCTACTGGACCTATCTTACCTCTCAGCACACATTTCCTGAAGGAACCTTTCAACTGACCCCAGAGACTTTCCACTTTGAATATCAAAGCCAGAGAAACTATTGGAACCATCTGTATACAAAATGCTGTAGACTAGTCATGGATTATACAGCAGGCTTTCTCTGACTTCACTTTTGAAAATTAAGTCACCACATTCAGGGAGGGTTAGAGAAACAAAAGGCTTTGAATACGTTCCACCAAAAAACTCAAGATTCAGATCAGAGAGCAGATGTAGCTGTGGACTGACAAAGTCACAAATCCTCTCCAGAGCATCTTTGAGAACACTTTCTCAGCTGGACCTTTACATGTTTTTTTTCTTTTCTCTCTGAGGCTGCAAATTCCTACATCTCAAAAGGGAACAGAATTTTCTCATCTGCCCTTTAAGCTCCTCCCAAACCAAAAAACCCAACAACAAGCACTTGTTTCATGGAAATGTTACAAGAATTGAGCTGGAAAATCTGGCTGCTGTTGAGAAACACTTTATTCCCCCTTCCATTCTTCCATTTCACTCTGTTTGAGTGGAGACACATGTAACATGTTGTTGCAGTTACTATGGAAAACAATTGTTTTCATTACAACATAGGGAACAGTATTAAGTACTTGAGGTACTTTTAGGGGTGTCTCTGTTACCTTTGGCTTTTGGCAGACATACTTTGAGAGTTTTGTCTGCTCAATTTTCCCTGGTGTAGGAAAACAAGTGTTAGAGGCAGTTATGGTTTATTCCCATTTGGCAGGCCCTTTGGATCTTTTATAATTGCCTCAAAAACAAGAAATTCTCAGTTTCAGTCTCACTCCAGCTCCTTAGTTCCACCTCTCAGTGTCACAGCTAAAAACCTTTTAGTTTAAGGAAAATTAACTTGCACTTATCACTTCAGTGAATTTACTAAATAAAGTTAGACACCTTAAGTAGATCGTTTCAGCCATATCCTGGTAATAAATTTCTTAGGTGCTCTTAACCCTGGAATCCAAGAGGAATTGTCAGATGGACTGGCAAGTTGTAGCACCTGTTCTTCATTTCCTCACTGTGTTTCTCTTCCAAGTTCCTCTTCACTATCCCATTAACAAGGCCCTGAGCCAGGAATGACACCCTTTAAACCAGTTTTCTATTTTCTGTGATTCTTTCTGTGTACATCAATTCTACCTTCTGCCTATTGCAAAGCTCCCCACTGCCTGGTCAGGACACCCTGCTGCCAGCCACGGCCTGAGCACACTCTGCTCCTTTCCTGAGCACACTCTGCTCCTTTCCTGAGGAGCTGAATCCAGCAGACCTGCAACTCTGAGCTCCTCTAGCAGCTCCCAGTCCTGTACCTTGCTAATTTCTAAACATACCCTTGAAGACAGTGCATGAAAAAGGACTCATACATCTACTCTCACCCTCCTGCCTCAGTTTGCCCTATTTCTTATTTTGAGTTACACAGGCTGTTTCCATCACAGATGGTTCTTTCCTATCCTGCTTCTTCCCATATGGTCTGGAATCCTTCACAGCTTTGCACTTTCCCCTAAAGACAATTGCATTGCACTTAAAAACATTTATGGTGCTTGCTTTAACAAACACACACCAAAGATTCCTTAATATAAGCTGTTCCTCTGGCATACTTTTAGTTGCTATGGTTGGCTCCTCTCCTAAGAGGCCCATAAAAGCTCCTGTTGGGAAATCTGTGACCTGCTATGGCTTTTATTAGACTGAATGTTACACTTTCATCCCTGACCCTGTGTAAACCATTGTGACTGTGTCTTGCACAGGTGGCATGAGACACACTGGAGGTCAAGTTCTCCATTGATGACCTGGGGTGTAAATTCTATCCTGGAGTGGAGCCGATCAAAGCACAGCTAAAACAGGAATAGTGCTGGCCCTGATGTAACCTTTAACACTGGAGATGTAGAGATAACATGAGTGAATCTCTTTCACACTTCATTCAAAGAAAACAGCTAAAGAAAAAAGACACAATCTTTAATATGAATGCAATAATTTAGAGGTATTTACTCCCATCACAATAGCCCTGTGACACTTGTTCTACACTCCCAGCAACAAAACAAGTTAATCTGTCTTACTTCTTCTGCAAAGAGATCTGAAACATTTTTTATATGATTGCTCTTTTCCTTGAAGGATTCAAATACAGCCTTTTATAAAGCCACCTTTGTGTAGAGAAATTTAAGGGAAATTTCTATGATGAGCTAATCTTCTTTCTCTTTTCTGGTGGTACATGGCTTCTCCACATTTTCTGAGAGTAGGAGAGTCACCTTTTTTTTCCTTTCCTCTTCCGCACAAACGGATGTAACAGTAGTAAATGTATCAATATAGGATGTCTGTACCAAATACAGAAAGTCTATGAAGTATATGAAAAAAAAAACTTACAAAAATTAAGTCAAGAAAAATTCATGCATGTCATTAAAGGAGCCAAAAGAAAAAAACAGATCACAAAGCGTCTAAAGAATTTGCAAGATTTCTCAATATTTCCCACTTTATCACAGACTTCTTATTTTTAGGTTTTTGTTCTTCATTCCATGCATTTACCTTCAACACAAAAGTTCTGTACCAGTTTCATTTGCAGGTTGATAGAGAGAATACCAACTGCCATGCTCATCCTCTAAGGTTCATTGTGAATTGAGTGCTCAATGATCAGATCACCCATGCAGATGCCCCAAACTGATTAACTTGATATTTCAGTATGAGACTACAAAACTTAATATGTTCATCTGCAGTTACCCCTGTTTGTTATGTCATCATGCACGGTACATCATCTAAATAAATAACTTCTTAAAATAAAAAAAAAAAGTCCCCACTAGAGCCATTCACATCACCCAGGTGCTGCTACAATGTGGTGGCTCAGGCATTCTCAAGTACAGATGTTCAGCATCATGCTCTGTAAAAACTTACAGGTGCAGGCAACCAGATCAAAACTGATCCCAGAACATCTGGCCAAATGGATGCACTATCGTTTTACAAAGGCATCGTCACCATTTACAGTACCTGCCTTAATTTTTTGATAGAGTTCATTATGCAAGGCGGTGATAATAGCTGCAGAAGAATGAATATGTTTTCACTTAATAACATTTAACATTATAGCTTAAGCAAATTCTCTAAATCTCAGAAGCTACTTTAAGTGAAGCATATTTTAAGTAAATAGAAGATTAAGATGGCATTTCTTTTCCTGGGCAGACTTAGCAACAGTAAGGGACTTTACTTTCTCAGTACAACACTTTTTACACTGACTACCTGCTCTATCAATTGCAAGATTTTATAGTTGATTAGGATTTGGAACCAGGGCTCAGAAAATATGGATTTCCTATGGATTTCTGTAATTTTCAATGGCTGTACAAGACCAACAAAGTCCCTAAATGTCAGCATTCTTTGTGCCTCTCTGCTGGTTTATCTGTACCCTTCTCCTTACAAGAGTGTTTCCTTCAAATGCATGCATTCCTTATTTCTCTACACTAAATATGCACCAAGACAAAACCAGTGGACAGGTTTAGTTCAAACTCACACAGACACAGATATTAATAGGTTATGACTAATTTTTCTTTCCTTTCTGGACATAAAGGCCAGAAGGGAGAATGAATTTTCAGCACGTAATCACTGAAGGTATGCTGGTAACAAACAAACTTCTACAATACTACTCATGCAAACTTAGCCTTCATCAAGAGTAAGTAAGTGAGAAGAACAAGAAAATAAAGTGGGAAGTCCAGAACATACTGAATTCAACACAAGCTTTCAGAGAGTTCAGTGGATTTCACCCTACCATTTTCTAACTACATTTTTTATGTAGATTCAAGCCTTTGGCCCACTTTTACAGCAACAGCAGTGACAGTACCTTTGTGTCTACTCTGTAGAAAAAGACTTGAAGCCAAAATTTGTCTTGAGTTACACTTTGTAGAACTACCATGTAAATCTAAATAGCATTTAATATTGACAAAATTTACACAAGAGGATATTCATCTGACCCTAAGATATTTGTATCCTACACAGTCTACAAAGCAAGAAGGAGAACACACCTTTATTTTAATATGGGCCACTCCTATTTTGCCTTGCATATTTTTCTAATACACTGAATAGGATTTGGGTGAGTTCAACAATGGAAACTCAGACTTGTGTGCACTAAACTAAAAGCAAAAAGGCTCTACACTGGCCTAAAAGATGAGTGAAATGGTCCCACAGCTTGCTGTTCTCAGGCTCCAAGATTTTATTCCATAAAGCGTAGGACTGAAGAGTCACTGCTGTCCTTAGGAGCACTGCTAACACATCTTTATGCTGCATTTTCCTGATACACACATCTGTAACTAACAGAGAGAGAGGTGTTCAACAGTAGTTAGGTAACTAAACCACTGTGCAGGACAAAGGGTGGAGGGCTTGCATTAACCTCCACTGAATCACAGAATTGGATTGCACTGTCCAGCCCCATCCTGCAGGCTGGATCTCACACAGACACCCTGCGCTGGCTGACATTGACTGCACCTAGTCTGCAATGAGAGATGTGAGGGATGCACAAACCAACACCAAGGAAATCCAAGGAAATCTGCCTCCTGCCAACTGCACCAGGTCTGCACCAGTGCATTCTGACTCCATCAACAGGTGTAAACTACCTCAGGTGCACCAGCACAGCCACACACCCCACAGGAGACACAACAAATAAACACTGTCCTGAGGGAGAAGAAATGGAATTGGGTGGTGTTTGTAGGGGCGAAGCAAACTCAGTAAAATCTGAAAGTAGACAGCTACTCCAGAGTCAGGAGGACAGAGAGGACCTTGCAACTCAGATGTGAACATGCACCAGACTAGAGAGGCAAATGTTCTCAGGCAGCACATGGAATATATCCAAACCTGGGGTTGTGTAAGCATTTTATCAGCTAAAGTATTCATAGGTAGTTGGTCAACATATATATAAAAAGGTAGAGACTTAACTGATTGCTTTATTTTCCCTAAAAACGTAAGTCATTGTTCATGGAAAACTATTTTTAACCATCACTTTAAAGTCAGATATTTTCACCATTTTCATTTGCTTCATATTTACACTCTAATTTTTTGTTTCAGAAGGAAAACTTTCTGAAATACTGGAAGACCAATACTATAGACCCCAAAAGCTCATCTGAATCTAAAATAAAAAAGTTAATTGTAAGCATTTCATTAAACAAAATTAAAAAATGTGAGAATTAACAAGCAACACTGAAACAAGTGATGCAAAAGACAGCATCAGTGCCCATGGTGGCAAGTGATAGCAGGAAAGCTGTGTGGCAGGAGGAGTAGCAAGCGCAGCAAATGACAGTAATGAGGAATCTTCTCAGTAAAGAAGATCATTATCAACACTATGAAAACACAACAGCAAACCTCTGCAGAGCGTGGCCTGCGCAGAACCAGACTCTTTGGATAAAAGAACTCAGATGAGGAATGCTGTCATGGAACACAAAAGGGAAAAATGAGTGAAAAGGAAAGCAGTTTCCCCAGTTCAGTGGTTAAGCTCTTTTTTCAATCAGGTTTTTATCATCTGCTTGTGTCATAGTTTCTGCTACTTACTGACCGCTGCAGAATCGTAACAGCCAGACAGTTGTAAATAAACACCAAACTATATATTTTTGTAACATGCATATGGTTGCTTTGTTTTCTGCTTGTTTTGTCTTTGCAAACTTCCACAAATATCCATGGGGAAAAGATCTAAAGCAACCACTGCTTTTATGAACTCCCTCTCAGATCTTGACCAGTGCAAATGCTGATTAGTTTATATCACAATTCAGTTACTGAAAGGAAACAGAACTTGCTGAAAAGTTCTGAAGTTACTTCAGTGATAAAAGGGTTTTTGTTTTGTTTGGTTCTATAGGGAAAGGAAACCCAGCAAGCAAATAGGCAATGGCACTGGCTTTTTGCAGAACCACCAGAAAATCTAGGCCTGGCCCTGAATAAAAAACTGAAATTCAATCAAAGTACATATCCCAATTTAGTGCTGACATGCTCAAACAGCACATAGTTCCCCCAGTTTTGTTTGTTTCTGTACCTACCTGTTTGCTACTGCCTTCATTTGGGCCAACAGGATGAAGCACATGTCAAAGTCACCAAGGTGAACTCCAGCTGATACCAGAATAGGGTTCTGACTTTGCACCAGAGCAGACAATCTGTGATGTACCACAGAAGCTAAAAACAGAGCCAGCTCAGTATGGTGCATTTATCAATGCCTTTTAAGGGCCTATTAAACCTCTGCACAGAGGTTCTCCTCCAGGAGCATGGTGCTGCAGGACAGCTGTGCTGTCACACTGCTCAGATGTTCCCTCAATTTGCTTTCTTCAGCTCCACATCCTCTTCCTGCAAGGACTCACTTAGGCAATGCCTTGCAGGTGAGTGAATCCATTCACTTTGCTCACTTCAATGAAAATTAGCTGAGGGGGAAGAATACTGACAAAAAGGGAAATACTTGAAGAGGACCACAGCCATTTCCATGGGGAATGGAAACAAGCAAACTGATTTATGAGGTCAGCTGGAGAAGGCTAATAAGGGCACAGTGCAGACAGGAATGCTTTGATAAAACTCCTGGGTCCGAGTGAAAGGGAGGTATTGTACTGCAACCAAGTACTGCAAGGCAAAAGCATTCTGACACATAAGCATGGCCAAAATACTGTCTTACATTCAAACTGTTAAATGAGGAAGAAAGTCCAGTCTGGCATCATTTTCCATTCTCTTACAAAAAGTCAGGACAGAGCAATGTGTGAATGCTGGATGGCACCTGCACTGAGCTTTGGCCATTCTAGACCACGTGCCCATCTAGGGCCAGTTACGTTTTTGCCCACACTAACATGAACTCTGCTCAACCGCAATTTATCTGCACATTACCTATGACCATAATAACTTCTCTGTGGGGGATGTTTTACAGACCAGTGTACTGGAATAAATGTTAAAGGATGTGGCTTCCTGTGAATGAGACCCACATAGAATACAACCCACAGGATGTCACAGGTATCTTCATACCAGTACCTCTTATTTTCCTTATCTAAAAGACAATTTATTCATATACACTCTCTAATATTCATATCCTGGGAAATTAGCAAAATTCAAGGGACCAACTGAGACATCAAAAAGAAAAAATTGTCCAGAGGATGAATCAGTGAATAAGGGCTTAGAATTGCCTGGTTCATGCAAAAAGCCAGGCTCTAGCATTTATCAGTGCAGCATTATTGTCACTGAGGATTTGACCCAGAAAGTTGGTCTGAATATGCTGGTGTAACTCCAAGGGTAACTGTGGCTCTTTTTGGCATTCAAATCAGGATCACTTAAGGTTGAGGCTTACTTGGATGGCAAAGAAAGAGTTCATCTTGTCTAAATGCTGCAAATAACCACACAGAACAGGGGATAACTATAGAGCAATTACACAGATGTGCAAAACCACTAAAATATATGATAGCATTTGCCCTGTTCATATCTTCTCCTTAAGAGTCTCTCTCACAACAACTGAGATATGAAATGAAGTGTCTTAGATACTTGGCCACGTCTGTATGTCAGTAAATGACACTATCTTTAAGGCAGTGCACTGAGACAGGTATGTGAAGGTGGTAAGCCTAAAAATCAGAGCAATACCTCTGAAGTGCCTCCACTGTATATTCTGCCAGAGTTGTGACAGCTATGTGAAAAAAACATGGAAAAAGTCACTCTTTTAAAAACAACATTCAATTACTGTGTGTGCAAAATGTATGGGGTGTCACTGAGCCATGAATTCAGCTTACCCGGAGCTTCTCCTCAGTCTTAGTGGATTGCTTACAGTCGGGATGCCAGACAGTGGAACCTGAGGAAGGACAAACACATCTTTATTCAGAGAAAAATTTGTTTCTGCTCATGACAAGCCAGTTATTAAAGAGAATCTCTTCACTGCATCAGATGCTGAATCTGTATGAACTATGAGAGTAATTCACATTAAAGTCTAGCTCATGGGAAATACAAGGGAAACAAAAAAAAATATTCAAATCCTTGGTGTACCTACAGCAGCTTTGTCCTGAGGCTGTCAAAGCACTTTGCACACATCCTTAATTAAAACTCAAGTAGCCTGAAGCAGCAACAGAGTCAGCAAGCACCAGCTGGAGGAACTGAAAGAGAGAGGATTCCTCTGGCAGGTTGGAGGGTAAGAGCAAAGGAACTGGGCCTGATCTGTTCTCCCCTTATGTACTGCCCTGCACCTAAAAAGGAATTTCTGATTTTAAGTCCATTGAGAAATAGGTGTCATACTCAGTTACTGTAAAGTATTACTCAGATCACATCTTCCCTCATGTAAAATGCAAAAGGAAAAGCAAAATTAAAAAATTCACAGTGCAAGAGCCAGGGCTGTATGTGACCCAGTGGCAGTGGGTGAGAGGCCAGGATGACAGGTGGGGCAAAGCTGCACATGAGAGCCTCTCCCTGGATCCCAGCACACCAAACCTGCCACTGGCACACACAGCGCTTCTACCCTGTGCTCTGGTGAGTGGCACTGGTGCTTCCACATGACATATTCCAGCTTATATCCTACCAAAAAAGTCAAGTTCTCTGCTGTTTGTTTCCCAAAAATGTGAGATTCTTTCTTATGTTGTCAAGTAGGAATATCCTGCTGTCCTCAAGGACTGAGTGATGTCAGGGGCAAGAAGCATTTCCATCCCATTTCAGTTGTCCTCTGAAACAGAGTGAAAGCTGTGGTCACTGCTGGAAAGCTGCTGAAGGTATTGGCCAAGATGAAATGGAGCAGAAACTAACACTGATTTTTAACACTGACTGCAGCTGCAATCAAATTCATCCTTCATTCCAGTCACCACAAAGCCAATCCAGAGCCCTGACTATCTGCAGGGGGGAACATCACCTCTTCATTCTGCCCACAGAGAAACCAAACAGAGCCACGTCCAGGTCTCCTGCTGGTGACTATTAGCTCAAAAGCAGCCACAGGAAACCCCACCCTCAGAGGACAGGAGAAGGATGGGTCAGGGCCCCTGGAAACTTTCCTCTAACAAGCCCTTACATGGCTTGGTGCAGAAGTAAAGAGCAGCAGGAATCATTTCACTTCCCAGCAGTACACAGCACAGTCATCACAGGAGACAGGAGAGAATGATGTGACTCTGGAGCAAGGGTCTGAGGTGTCTGGCTGTGAGTCTAAGCCGAGGAAGAAGAAACTGTGCATTTGGCAGAGGGAAGCCATCAGACAACAGGGAGAAGTGCACCGAGAGCCTTCTCTGTAAACAAACAGCAGCCTCAGAGCCAGGACCCCGCAGAGCCTGCAGGATCAGGAGGGAGCTGTGCCCTGTCCACGCAGGAGAAACAGAGTTCAGGTCATAAGGCTCTAAGTTCATGTTAAAAGAACTGATCTGAGCAAGACTCCTCTGAATATGACACCTATTGCTCAAGGATGAACTAAGACTCAGAAGATTTTAGCTCAAGTCTCAAATCCAGCTGTGAGCTTCCTTCCTGTGCGGCCCTGAGAAAAATGATCCCCATTCCTCTGTACCTCACTGTTAGATTAATGGCAGGAGTTGATGATCTTAGGAGTCTTGCCAGCCTTAACAATTCTGTGATTCTTTTCTGTTAAACTTTCCCTGCCATCAGTGAGAAAGCTGTCACTGCATTTTGAGCAGTATTCATCACAAACTGGCACAGTTTAGGGACACCCTGTGAGAATGCTGAAAGTGAACAAGAAATGCAGGAACCTGGATGTCATTTTCATGGTGAAACCTAGCTAAGGGTTGTAGGTTCTATTTCAAAAAATAATAAAGAGATTTTAAAGATGCGACATTTAAAAACACAAATCAGACAGAGTAGGATTATGAAGTTAAATGTACATATTTTTTTGTGATCTTGAACTCTGAGCTACCTACATTTTGTAGATACTATTCATCTAAACTGTTTTGAAATGCAAGGGTGCAAATTCCCAAGCTGCATTATTCCTCTATTTAACTGTTGGAAACAGTTCAGCAAATTGTGATTATTTCCATCCTCAACATATGTTTGTTTGCTTACCTGGCACACATCACCTAGCATGCTCATTTATTCAGCTTTAAACTTTGCATGTACCATTATTTCAACACCAGCATCCATCTAAATACTGGGCATTCCTAGCTCAGCAACAGCCTTGTGGGGCAGCCCATAAAACAATGTATTACCAGGAAGTCAATGGGAAAGAGACAGTTTCTGGGGCTGCTTCTTTTTTATTTTCATGTGTTGGAGCACTGCCAAGCCAGAATGTTTCTGCTAGCATTATTCCAACCACCCTTAACATAGAAAGCCCCAAGACAGAGAGCTTGTTTGTCCATGTTCTCCTTTTGCCACTTTCCCACATTTCTAGTACAAGTTTATACCACAATCCTGCTAGGCTTCTCTATTATACAAAGCAATACCAAGACACTGCTTTCATATTCTAGGGAGAGGACAATCAAAAGCGAGATGGAAGCCACCTATTTTTGTGTATTTTATGAACAAGGTGATTTTTGTTCTAGCTTTATTGTTGTGGTGTTGTATTTCTGTTACAGAGAAATGCTTGGAATGCTGTTATTCTGCACCCTAGGGGCAGTGATTTGGATGGAGTCAGGATATGCATTTCAGCTGAGAGCTTTGCATAGGAAAGGCTTTTAGGTCCTCACACTTCCAAGCAGGCTGAATTCAGCAAGGAAAGCTTTGGCAGGACAGTCTGGAGCACACTCAGCAATTACATTATTTAGTCAGAAAACATCCTGTGAACAATAAAGCAATGCAATATGAGGTGCTCCTCCCCCATGACAGCCTGAGCACCAGGAACATTGATTCATAACCACAGAAAGAGAGATACACTAAAAAGAGACAGCAGATCAAGCTGCTGCCAGGTTTCTCTCCTCTCCCCTTTCCTACCACCTGAACTTGTCCAGGACAAACTCCAGCCTAGTTTAAGTAAAAGTGATATACCTTCTGTCTTATTTTGAGCTGCAGAAATGTACATCAAAGCCTGCTCAATTAACCCAAAGTCCCACTCTCTGCTAGACTAGTGCAAATGGCACTAGCTGGAGATGGCTGTTATTAATTAATGACAGCAAAGGATGACCTGATGCTCATTTTGAACTCTGTCTGTACTTTACCACACCATCATGTGAGGAAACTAAGATCTGCCAGATGCTGTAAGTGCTGCTTTCAAGTTAGTTTTTCCAATTTGCCATCAGAAAGCAGCACCTCCCACCCAGCCCTCTTCCAGCCTCTCCTTGCTCCTGCCAAGCAGAGCTGCTACTCCATTTCACATCCTGTTCTGGGCACAGCTGGAATAAGATGACTGAGGTATAAGGTCAGGGAGAGATGACAGAGAGGGACTGCAAGGAAGGACAAACTACAAAATAAAACAAGTTAGCTTCAAAGGAATGCCTTAACAATATGATCTTGTTTTGGAACTCCTCCAGTAAGAATCTCTCCTCAGGATTTCAAAAAATGGCTGTGACAACACTTTCATATTTCTTTCACTATTCTTCTACATTCCTTTCAAGTACATCAAGTTTCCTAACCTAAATGCAATATATAAAATCCCAACATGTATTTGCCTTTTTCACTTTTATTTCTGGTTTACATAAATGGGTATTATACACCCTTCTACCAACAGTAATACTACAGCAAGCAATAAAAATAACTTAATAGTGAGTATACCACCCTCTCAGAGAGTAGGTGGGATTCAGATCAAGGATACTTTTTTATCAAAGAATAGAGAATATTCTTTTTTATGTGAAAAGATCACGAAGAAACCAAGCTAGGCAATAACTGGGAGTGCAAGACTCTTAACAAGAAAGGGGAGATGAAAATGAACAGACAAGAAAAAGGTGGCTACAGAAAGATATAAAAATAAAGTACATGGGAATAAAAAGAGAGATGTGACCAGATAAAAGGGAAGGGTAGCAAATATAATTAAGAACTGGAGGAGACACTCTGTCAATGTGCATGAGGAATGAGGTCTACGTGGTTCTAAGCAAATGCACTGCAGCTTCTTGGAAGATTTTTCCCTTGCCTTTTACAAGTTTGGAGTGTGGTCCAGAATAGAACAGAAACTGATCAGCAGAAATCAGGGGAAATCCTTTCACTTTGTCTGGTATCTCATACACCATTCTGGGGTTAAACTATCCTGAGATGTCAAATTCAGAGGCAGCCTAATAAATTTTGGTTTTCAGCAAGCATAGGTCGCCTCAGCAAGGGTCCCTGCAAAGTCACAGTTACGGCCACCTAATAGAGCAAAAGGGTATCAAGTGAAAAAATATGAGAACACTATAGAGGACAGGATGACTATAGTCCCCCTTGGACATATTACATGGGATGGTTTATAAATTCCTGAGATCTGTGACAGAAAAATCACAATGGCTGATTTTCTTCTTTTGGAATGGAGACATCCTTACCTTGCAGATACATTTCTTCTCCTTCTGTGAACATTTGGTTGCATCTGCTGCATCGTGCACAGCTTGGATGATAATGCTTGTCACCTGCCTAAACAAAAACAAGAAAGGAACATGAGGGACAAATACATTGCACTGCTTTCTGACTTTCTGCTGGCTGACCATTGCCCTTTTTCTTGTATTTCACCTGTTTTGCTATAACACTGCCCTCAAGATGTGACAATAGCACTGAGGATTGAGCTCTGCCACACTGCTGAGGTCTGTCCTGTCCTCAGCAGAGGCCAGCAGTGGCTGCCTGGGGAAAAGTATGGAAGAGAAAAGACAGCACAGAACATCCCTTCCTCTTCACACCTTCCCATCAAGCAATCAGAGTCCTGGCTAGGAGATACATCATGAGGTACCTGTTCTCCATGATCTGACAAACATCTTTTTAAATCATCAAACAGTCCAAGGCAATGAATGCCACACTGCAGTTTGTTTGTGTGAACCTGCTGCCTCCTCGTTTTGCCAATTAATGAGTTTTCAACCATTTTATTCCTTGGCCTTCTTCCCCACACTGCTGACATGGGTATTAGTACAGAAAGCTTTCTAGAGCCACTTCTGGGACCATTAATTTAATTCTCAGATCCCCAACCTCAGAAGCTGCACCAGCACAGACAGCCTGAGCGAATTTGAACTACTGCTGTAAAGGTCCTAAACACCCTAGATCCTGTTACCCAAATCCAAATCCACTGAGTCATTCAGTCTCTTAAATACATTGATACCATTAATAGGTAAAGCTGATCAGATTTCAGGCCTATAAGGACAGGAAAAATCAAGGCATAAATATTAATGCGATTTCTTCTCTTTAGGAGACCAAAGCAATCAATACATTAGCTTCCTCATCTCATAAACTAAGCACAAAATGTCCACATCAGGCTTTTAAATAGAAAAATTATTAATGCTAGAAAATGACCCTTCATAGTGACAAGTAAAGAATTCTAGAAGTCTGAATTTGTATCTGGCTTTCCAAAGAAATTAGCTTAAGTCCTTTTGCAGAAATATTCCCCATCCACTGAGATGCTGTATGCAAAAAATATCTCTATAGCTGACTTGTAAAATGCCAGCAAAACCATCTCCTATCTCATTGTACTTAAGACCATAACATTACTAAATCCAACCTTTCATTTTGTCTATTAAGAAGAATAAAAACATATTTTTGGTTCACATATGACATTTGTTACACAGGCTTTTTATTTAAACATATATATATATATATATATATTAGATGATGAAGTACATGGATTAAAGTACCTGACAGCTACCGGAAAATCAGCTCTACCACCCAGCTCTTCTACAGCTAAAGCTGCACCATTCAATTTTAATAACTCTCATCCAGGAACTTCAGCAATACAAGGCCAGAGAAGAGGACTCAGCAGGCTGTTACTTCAGTTACACATTTCACTGTTCAGCTGCAAAAAGCCTGCACTTCTCTTAATCAGATTCTGCATTTACTCTTGATTCTTGCACTTCAGGGGCAAAATCCACCAACCAGAGTAATGGGATTTAGGTGTTCTTAGTAAAGCAGATTTAGAGCTATCCGGCAAAACAGGGTGTCTATTAAAAGGGAAAATGAGAAGTCACTACAAAATCTGCTTATTCAAGGAAGAAAATCTAATGAGGGAGAAAACACAGAAATGATGTTTGACTTGCAGCAACAAAGCTAATATTGAACTGAGAGAGAAAACACAGTTAATGCTCATTCTCTATCATTTTCATTACTGGCTGCCTTCTTCATCTCTGACTCTCCCTAGCAATTATTTAACCACTGAGGTGTCCCACTAGTTTCATTCAAGACTGGAATTTACAGGATAAAGAAATCCAGAATTCATCACATTATTATGTGTAGACCTGTGGCCTCTCTGAAGTTTTGTTTTCCTGGAAAAACTTCTGATAAGCTACTATCAAGGGAATATAGTTCAAACCATGTACACCTGCCTGTTCCCAACAGCCAGAGGGATCAATTTCAAGTTTATCAGGTCTTTCCCTGAGACTGAAACAACTGGCTAAATTTTAGCCTGGTGTGAGTGGCGATGAATGAACACCACGCCCCAGATAATACAACCCTGCAAGCCCAAGTGAGAACACACCCTGCACTGCAGAGGTTTTGGGGCAGTGACATACCAGAGCAGCTGTAGTTGTTGTTGTTAAACACTCCCACAACAGTTTCATGAGTTTTTCTGCCTCTGTAATGTTTCTACAGCTCATGAATGGGATCCTTCCTACAGCAGGTATTTGCTGGAGAATATTCTGAATCTCAGCTAATTCAGGACTCATCTTGCTATGCCTGACTTGCTGTGATCATCTGGGAAAATGGATGCTAAAAATCAGTCATTTATAATGTATTAGGACAGACTTTTGCATCTAAAAGTCAATGAAATATTCACACTTTCTAGACATCTCCTTTCCCCCTAACAGGGCTACTAAACCCTCATTCATTGTGTTCAGTGTGCAGCTTTCTGGGATCTCATGCTACTGTGCTGTGCATTAAAAGGTTTGCATCTCAATCCTCCTGGCAGGACCAGGAAACACTGATTAAGTGCACGTTTGCCTGAAACATTCTTCAGTCAAAGTGAGAGAGAGTTAAAGGCTCTGTCTTCTCCCTCTGCTGAGCTCTCCTCGCCCCTTCTCGAGTTCACATCCAGAAATCCTTTGCAGTTCTCTGTGCTGCGCAGACACTGGGATCTGATATATCATACTGCTTTTGGTCCCTTCTGAATCATTCCACTTTGGTTGAGTCTTCAGGACTACCCAAACCATCAAGCACGAACTGTGACCCATATCTTAGAGGACCGTCCCTCAAATAAGATGGAGTAAGCTAAATTAATTGCTGTGAATGCCTTGGTTTGCTTAACTAGAAGTGCTAAAACCAACCAAAATAATATTTAACAATTTACTTCAAATTGTTAAATGAAATCAAATAAATTGACAGCAATTTATTGTCAATTGAAGTATTAAACCTATATGTTGCTGTCACTGCCTATAAAGTCTCTGTTAAATCATCAGACGTTTGCATGTGCCCTAAAAGCAAAGAACATCAGTTATCAATTTATGACAACACACAACCTCTTCTGACTTGCCTATTTATCTTCTACCCACATTGACAAATCTGAAATAGGTTCTTGGATAAAATCCCATTTGAACACAGAAGACAGAAAAAATTAAATTAAGAAGAGCAGAAGGATGTTCTCATTTACCAAATAATTCCAGAGCCTCAGAACTGCAGAGTGAAGAAACAGTGATCAAAGAATTCTACGAGCATAATTATAAATGCAGATAAGTGGATGCTAAATTTCAGTAGCTATTTATGGCTAAGCAAATCTCACTGATCAGTGCCTGATCTAAGATAAAAGTGTTTTGGTTATTTTCTGTATACTACAAATATATATATTGTCCACAATATGCACATTATATGCATGTTCAAGAATGAAATAGATACATTATTCTAGATAGTATTAAGGATCTATTTATTCTGGTAATTTCAAGACTTAAACTGGAATCAAGTCTGTATCAACACTAACCTTCAGTTTTGCAGTCTACAAAGCAGGTTAAATTACATTTAATGTCCTACATAAAATACTTTGGAACAACACTACCAAGGAAAACCATTGCAGAAATGTATTCTTCATAACCAGGGTAAAAAATAAAACCATATAATCACATCTCTAATGCTTGTGAAGGACAGTTGAAGGCTCAGTGACCAGAATTCATGGATGATGGACCACGCAGAGGAGCTGGATGTGTTTACTCTGCAGATGACATATCCCAAGTATGATGAGCAAAAGTACCAACTCTATTATGTATTACAACAATACCAAGACCTGTAATAATAGTTGACAATGAACAACCACATTTTTCAGACCAGATTTTTCATAGATCACCTTTTCAGACTTAGAGGCTACACATTTCCAGCCTTTGCCCAGTGTGCTATTCTCCCAAATGGCCTCAGCTTGGATGTTACAAATTCTCCTGAGCTAAGAGCCCCTGCGGACTGTTGGCAGAGAGCTTTGAAGGTCCCTCCAGCGGGGTGGGAAGTGACCCTGCACTGCTGTCCTGAGTGAGAGGTGGCAGGACAGAGGCACTGGGTTACACACTGTGTGCACCCAGCTTAGACACCTCTACCAGTCTAAAAGGTAAACTAAAGGGTGAGGAGGTACTTGAAGCACCAGTGGAACACCTCCCTGTGAGCTCCTTACAGCCTTCTCACCCTGCTGATGCTCCAGCCTGCTCACAACACGCACACTGCTCATCTGCCTTCACTTTATAAACTCTGCTTCTTCGGGGACCTCCTGGACACAAAAATGTACTGTCACTCCTAGCTGTCAGGAAGGCAGTGGTGGGTATTGCATGAATTATTCCAACCCAGAAGCTGCAAATACACCTGCAGGCAAGCTGACACAACCCATCCCAAAAATCCAGCTGAAAAACTCCCTGCACTGAGCTCACATACAGTGTTAACCCTGGGGTAATAGCACTTCAAAAGCCAAGGACTGCATTTTCAGAGTCCAACCCCTCTGCTCCCACTTCCCACAAGACTAACTTTTATTCTCTGAGTGCTTGTAAAGCTCTAGGCTGATTAAATAAATGTTTTCCTCTTTGGTGAACGTGAGAGCTTAAGATTTCCTATTACTCATGCCTTCAGCTCTGTCCTTCCTTCCAGAACAACAGTGAACAAGAGCCAGAGAGAACAATAACAAGAATCGCACTAGGAGAGCTCACATGCCAGTGGGTCTGGTAGAGGAAGAACTAATTACCAACAGACATGTTCTGCTGGCCAAAGGACACAATTAAGTGCATATTTGTTGTGTTACATTTGCACAGCTGCACTCCTTCACTCTCCTTTCAGAGATAACTGAGCAGTCACTGACACAGAACTATTAAACACGTAGAAAGTTTTACTTTTCTCTTTAAATACTACCAAAACTATTACGTAGTTGAAAGAGTTTCTGAGAGTCTGAGAGCAAAAGTACTTTCCTTTTTTCCTTTTTTTTTTTTAAAGGCAAACCTATCCACTATCTATTCCTGCCATGACTCTGAGGAGAATGACTTGAT